ATTAATTCCGATGGTCTGTCTTGATTCCTGATCTGCACCAGCCTCATATCACAACAGTATCCTTTCGGCCCCTCGCAGCCATTCTCCAAGCCTAATGCCTGTGAGGCAAAGGTGGCCCCTACCTGCAACCCCTGTTCTATGCGACTTGACAGCAATGAAGTGCTTGCAATGAGCCCAGTTTCTCTAGGGCCTACAAACGCCACGTCTCTGTCTTCCTCTGAGGTACCTCCGGACTGGAGCTTCCGGAAATTGCCACACAAAATACCCCAGCGGCAGTTCGAATGCACATACCCGGGCTGTGACCGCCAATTCAGGCGCCGAACGGCCCTCGAGAGACATCTGATATGCCACTCAGATGAAAGACCGTACGTATGCTGGGTGCCAGAATGTCATCGTAGCTTCAAACGCTCGGACAATTTGAAAGCTCATTACCCGACTCATGCCAAAATGGGCGGTCGCAACCGCTATGTAGCAACCTTGGACAATACGAGTCCTGCCTACAACCCTAAGTTTCGCGGTCGATTGACATTGGAGGGCTGGCCAGCTTTCTAATATCGAGAAGATTCAAGATTTTACCTAGAACACGATGCTTATGTTCCGCAATGACCACCCCTTCCATTTCATGGCTTGCGTCTGAGGTCCCGGCCGCCTTAAAGTATGAAATATTTCCCCCAAGACGTGAGATGAATTTGCTTTTGCCTCCAAAAGGATTTTCCTCGCCTGCCGCCGGTTGCAAATAAATAATGTATAGCCAGATTTTAATGTAATTCGCGTGTGATGCATACAGTTAATATTGATATACTAGCCATGCTATCAATTCAGCGGTTTCTAGAACCATTCTCTGGAACCATAAACCCCAAAAGAGGTTGCCCATCCCGATAAATGTAGTGACAATGATTAGATGATCGACCTATTGTCAGGAAATTATACTAAAAGTAAGAAGCAGCATTAGATTAGACACGAATCAACCATTTGTGCTTTGAAACTTTGGCTCCCTTTTGTCAAATCCATTGGGTTGAATATTCGTGTTATCTCAATAGGAGCAGGACTCTCATATAAGCTTCAGGCATACAACGAATTTTTATTTTATTTTATTCCATTTCATCTAATTTCTGTGCTAAAAAGGTAGACTGCTTGTAAATTGTGAATCGGAGACCTGGGCAGCGAGGTGCAAGAAAAGACCCGTGCTGGGCTTAGGGCTCCATAGTCAAATGGTAGTCTTGATTGATAGAACAGAAGTAGCATAGCGTAGCAAAAGCTTTAAAAATCAATCACGTTTTTGTGTTCAGCAATCTGTCATGTTCGAAGAGCTGTTCGGGCCCGAGGGAGTAGTCGGGGCCGCCGATAGTGCTGTCACTGACACATGGATGGTTGTGGCAGACGAAGAAGTCGGTTCGGACTCAATGCCTTTCGTCGAAGTCCTTGCTTTATTGCTGGCGGTACACAAGCTTCCCTTAACCAGAGGCTCCACGACCTTGCAACTTTTCGCATCCCCTTCTTCATTGTGGAAGTTGATCAAACCGCTTTGATGTACCTCAACCCAGGCGGTACCCTGTTCAGAGTCACATAGTATGGCTTTAAAAGACGACGAATTGGCGTGTGTGCCTTTGGTTTCTGGGTTGAGGTCTCAAAGATGTCAGAAAAATTTCTCCTAGTGAATAGATTGCGTTACTTACTGGAACATGATATGCCGTCAAGAGGCGCAAACGACTCGGAGATCCTGGTGCAGTCGAAGTTCCCCGTGGAATACACAAAACATTGGTTATTATGGTCAATGATCTGAAACATTCCACCAAAGACAATCGAGATAAGCGAAGAATAAATAAACAAACGATACATGTCTTTTTCGAGATGGGGTGTCTTCAGCAAAACGGGATCTGTCTTGCTCTTCCAAGCAGGAATTTTGCGACACGCCCGAAACTACTTATACTTACGTTTCGAACAAAGCTAAAGGGAATTTGGAGCATATTCTATTTCAGATACGTTTTACAAAGTCATCAAAATCTTGACTTGGCTCAAGAACTCATGCCAAATGTATGTATCAAGACTTTTTTGTGATGAGTTGTCGTGGAAATTTGAATCGGGCTCTATTCATTTATCAGTAGCTAACATGCCGCAAGCTTTTATTGTTCCCATAAAATTAATACAATAATTTTGGCTATCTACTTCAAGAGACAATCATCGGTACAAGTTTTAATGCGCCCTTTGACTACGGTCGTACCGCTCCCTTTACAATTTTGCGGCCGCTAAAGGGGTGTACAAGTTACCAGATAGAACCTCAAAACCCCTAAGAAACCTATCAAAGGATCCTTGAAAGAAAAAAAAACTCTCAGACTCCAAAATTTACCGGCCGTGTGAGGTCACTCAACAGGATCTTCCCAGGTAACCGCAAACGTTTCCCACAGTACCTTGCTGATAGAGTCTGGCTTTCTCGTTTATCAAGAGACATCTTTAGGATTTCGCGTGGCTCCTGCTGAAGAAAATCAAGATTTCACAGTCATAATACTATAGTCCGCCATCCCAACTATCGGCAGTATATCAAGCCTCTGATTTGACAGATTGAGTGTCCGAACTTGAAACAGTCATCCTCCGAAGCTTGAGACGGCCAAAATTTGAATGAAATGTTACTCACTTACTGCATATTCTTTTTTGGTGCAGCTGCAACAATTCTCGGACAAACAGTCAGCCTTCTATTGCCGGGATTTCAAGGGCGTGAATTGGAAGCGAGCATATTATCTATGGTATGTTTATCTACCGCATGTGAGGAAATGCCGAGATATTAGACTACAAGAATCCGAATTAACTTCTTATCTACATCCTAGGACAATGAAGCGACAACACTACTTGTAACTTGCCCTCAAACCGTCATTGCGCCTAACTGCGGCGTTTCCGAAGCAGGAATGACGGCTATCCTTAAGAAGGACTTCGTACAGCTGGTGGATGTCAACAAAAAGAATAGGTTGGTACTCTGATAAACTCAAAGAATTTTTGATATTAATGAACCATTGCAGCACCGCGTCCCTGTCGTGTCATATTACCGGAACAACTTACGCATCCTGCTATGCTACCAACATAATTTCGGTTCACGCCACACTCGCTCCGAAAGACCTCAACTGGATGGCACTACCAGTTATGTCCGCGACATCATCTACAACAGGTGCACTAAGCTCCTCAATCTCCACCCAGCAAGTTATGATCACATCTCCCGTGAAGCTGCCATCAGGAACAGAAACGGCTGCTACACCGGCAGCTGAGAGCCAAGGAACATTCTGGCTCAAGACATCATGGGGCTTATACGCCACAATGGGATCGATTATGGCTGGTACTCTGGGGTACATCTTGCTTTTTCCATTGATGGGCTGGCAACTTCAATCTTTACTGTGATCAAAGTCTGGGAATTAACTGCTCAGGCTCGCTTGAAAGAAACGGCACCTGCAGCTCGTTTTCCTTTGTTGATACCAGTACCATTTCATATCAGTCATCTTGTATAAATGATGATCAGCCTAGATTATACAGAAGGAAATCGTGTCACATATAGATACTCGGATGATCAGGAAGACACGATACGCTACTGTGTCTAGTGAGGGCCATTTCCTGTCCAAAAAAGAAGTCACTTTTTCTGCTTAATGTTGCCGAAAGATAAGATTTTAGAAAACTTTCGATGCAGACGTCCTTGATTTGAAAATTTTTAAGTGGTGTAACAGAGCCAGATAGGCGTATTTCCAAGTTCATAATTATGGACCGGACGTAAAGAGTTCTCCAAAGTATGGCTTTTCCGGGACTCACAACACTCGTGCAAATATGAATTCCGCATACGCAATATTTCAAATGTGTTTGATGGGTTTCAAAGACCCTGGACAGAACTGCTGCGTTATTCTGGTTGTCATTATAGCGCTAAGAGGATAGGTTTTGCAGTTGAGCTTCGAAGCAAATGCAATTGATCTTTGAGTTCTTCAGGGATGCAGGGAAAACTGGATCCTAGCGACTCTTCGTCGGAATATGTGGCATCATCGCTCTCTGATGCCACAAATCTGCGATCCTCGCTGGTTTCCGACATCTCACCTTCCGTAGAAGTAGAATCGTCATCCGTCTCTTCAATATCAAGGTCTCCGTAACTGGATAGGACCTCGAGGATCTCATTGTCACTTTCCTCTATTTTCTCTGGCATTTTCAAAATGAAGTGCCACAATTGACTCGGATATTTCAAGCAAGGCAGAGATCATCTCAATTTATAGAATCATGGGCGTGCGGTAGTACTCGGTAGCTTAAAATTGAAGATATGTGATGACGGATGATGACGGGTGAGGAACATATGCTAAGTTCTAAGGATAAGCAAAAATAATTTTGCGATGTGTTGGCAGGGACCATCACTGGGCATTAAGATGGTTGAATCACGGAAAGCGCTGACCCACCAGAGGCCCCTGGTTGGCCCAGATGACTCGTGACAAATCATTTGGCTCGTCAACGTTGGTGACGCGGGTGAAACGAGTACCACCGCGGTCAGTCTGCGAGTCGGCCAGAAACAGCGTGTCGTGGACTCATCTCAACAAGATGACTTGAATTAATTGATGCACACCCCAATTCTGTAAAGATATTGATTCTTGTCGACAACTTGGGTGTAACTGTTGCGTAATGTTGAGCACCAACTGTCGACGATGCAGAATCGTCGCAAGGCCATGACTGAAGACATCAATATATGATCAAAATCCTCATACCATCTCGAAGCCAGGCGGCGATGGAAAATCTGTGGCACGGCCCATGATGATACACACACCTAGGTGGAAGGGATGGCGCAATCGGCCGCACGATTGGTGGTGGTTGATCATCGTTCTCCCATCAAGACCCTGTGCTTGATTTTATCTTGATATCATGACGTTGGTTACCGTTTGCCCGCTGGCCATGGAAAATAGTACCAGAGCTATGCACTAGATTTACAAACGGACGGGACTTAAATAGTCGACCAAGAGCCTAGGTTCTCGGGGACACCTCCCTGCAAAAGGATGGCCGACCGAATGGAAATTGACTCCAGAGACGATAGCCGCGAGATGACTGACGCGAATCAGCAACTTGAACGCGAACTCCTTCAGTGCCAGCAAGGATCATCTCCAGCTGCTGTGCATTCGCGGCGAATTGTCTCGCTTGGGGTTTCTCCTCATTACGTGAGTCACTGGATCTCTGCCGATGCCTTTCGGGAACTATATCAGAATTGGTACGTGTCTGTCATCTTGTCGGATCATGAGGCTAAATCCTAAAACAGGAAGGACGCCATATTGGAACGGTTCCAGATCGATCGAATCGCCTTCCGGCCGTACTTCGTCGACGCCTGCGATCATTACGCCGTCTTGGTACCAGACCCCGTGGACCCCAAGGGCCGCCGATCCCTGGGATTCATCAAGTATGACAAAAAGTCCAGTCGGGTCACTTTGGCGAACGCCTGCCTGCAATTTCCCTTCGAGGCTGTCTAGTTAGGCTTCACTACCAAGGGCGACCAGAACCAACTGGCGGGTTCCCATGGCGACGGACTCAAGCTGGCAGCCGTGGCGCTGTCCCGGGATGGGTACAGGCTGCAGGTGGCAGCAAGCCGATGCTCCTGGAATTTTCATTTGCGGGAGCCATGCAAGTCTCGCCTCCATTGTACCATCACCCCATCGCGCCAATCTGGGTCCACCCGGACGGACTGGGCCGAGGATATTGCGGGACTGCGCTTCCAGACCGAGCGAGATGTTGCCGTGCTCATCGGCCCCGGACGCACCACCCAGGGTCGGCCGGTGGCACCTGAAGAAGTTCTTGAGTGGCTGCAAATATCTCTGGATATTCGTGGCCTCTCCTACCCGTCCTCGGTTGTCGAGACAAGCCACGGGGACCTGCTTTTTGACCAAAATCTCCTAGGTAGGATTTATGCCCACGGCGTGCTAATCTCTGGAACAAACTCGATTTACCCGTTCAAAGTTGGTTATAACTTTACCGAGGGGAAATTCAATCGCGATCGGCGATGGCTCATGGACCGGCATGGACTGGCAGAGCGAGTGTGCCGGATCTGGGAGTCCGCCCTTCAAACGCACGAGGCCGTCCTTCTTCCGATATACGTGAGCCTCCTCCGAAAGACACCAGCGCTGATGGACGTTAGTCTGGCTGCTGATTTGCTCTTAACCTCGACGATATCCCGCATCTGGACGTATTTGCTACACGAGTCCAAGGGCAAGGACTTTTTCTATTGCGAAGCATCCGGAGCCCAGGTTTGTCGGAAGTCCAATATCCATATCCCTTGTCACAGGCTAACGCAAATCTAGGATGTCAACATGATACGAGAGACCATTGGAAAAAAGCCCATGAAGCTGTCGCGAGAATTGTGGCGCCTACTGCGGTCGACTACGCCTATCCGCAGTGCTGCGGAAGAACTTTCAATGCTTTTCCATAATGCCGAGGTCTGTAGCCCCCCGAGTACCACCTTCTCGAGAACTGTGCGGAAGGGACTGAGAGTATGCTTTGCCTTATTGGATTCGATGCAGGGGATTCAAGTGGCTTATGTCGAAGGATTCGATAGTAGGGCGGATGTTGTGTATAACCCTCAGCAAAGGACACTGAAGGTCCACCGCCGATGGCTGGACTTTGACGATACACATCAGCGAACGTCGTGTCGGAACTGGATTCTTCGTAGTGCGAAGAAGGAAAGTGGAAAGCGCGAACTCTTCTTTTGCGGCCACGTCATTGAGGAGCTCTTATCTCTTTCCATCTCGTCGGTGTTTGGGGGCTCTCAGACCCCTCGGACCACCGAGATGAGGTATATGCGCCATATCTGACGTCTACTCCGGTACATGCCACACCAGATCACGTTGACGCCCTCGAAGGGCGGCTTGGCGGTTGCTTGGGAAGACAGCGAGACAGAGCTGTTTCGGAAGCATGGCCTGGATGGGGCGGCGTATCATGTCATACTACACGAGGAAAACTGTATCAGCATGAAGCGGGAGCTTCTGCATCCGAACCCAGGTAAGCCTCGATTGATCCTCGCTTAGATATAGCTATGAATTCTGATACTTGCCATATAGTTCCGGACTCGTCGAACCTTGCAGTCTGCGGGTGTCGTCAGCAGTTCGTTCCGCAGTGGACCAAACAATGCCTGTTCGCAGACTTGGATGAATTCAAAAAGTACTACGCGATGGTTTCACTCAACGAAAGGTCGGCATTGTACGGTCTAATACCGGAGCCTGTGTATCCCCTAGCAGTGGCGGAGACCGGGCATTCCGTCGTCGTTGGCGATCAGCTTCTCGTTGATGTCCAACACAGGCACGGGCCAATCGATCATTCGGGTCCGCCGCGGATCGAGAGAAAAACAGCTTCATCTGCCCAAGAGCCGAGAAGCAAAAGACGGAAGTATATGGACTGAGCAAGTCGTGTCTCAAATCACCCTCACATTGCTATGGCGTTTCGCTGCCCTCGTAACAGCACGACAATTAATGAGAGTTGTAGCTCACTTTCACACGGAGTGGATGGTCCATGACAGGCTGCATATTGTTCACTGAGCTCTGTGCCCTGGTCAATATCCTCTCTCGGTAGCCTTACGCGAGCATGATGGGAGTCACTGACGTAAGTTTCCGGTATCTCCTGGCGCTCGAGTAGACATTGGCGAGGTCACAGAGAATCGGTCATTCAGACGAGTCAAAATGACTGATTGACTGAATTTCGCCCACCTAACAGAAGTCACGCATGCAAGGATTCTTGGCCTTAGAGAAGGGTAGAAAAGCCAAACGGAACAAAATGCTGTTAGGTCAAATGATAGGGCCCATATGGGTGAGGGTGTTTCGTATAGAGGACGAACGGGATGTATAGTCGGCTTGGTCTATTGGACAGAACCTCGACGAGTTGCTTTCGATACGGAGCGATGATGAACCCTCACGGCCACTCAAACAAGACTGAAGGTAGAAATCAGAACCAAGATTCACATTGAACGCTCCACTGTAGTCTCATTGCATCTAGAGTGCATTGCTTCAAGCACCAGCCCCATGGTGGGTTGAAGGTAGTGCCTAGGAATATCTGGCTCTCCTAGGAACTATGAAAGCAATCCTGGGGGCATTAGCAGTGCTGCTATTACAATCCGCCTCAAGGAATTTCCATTCTTCGCGACGCATTCTTGTAGTAGGAGCTGCCCTGATGGATTCAGGCACGATGATTGCCGTGTAGCGGCACGACGAACGATATAACTCACCTGGCCGCTCTTTTCACGAGGCCATTATAACTCTACGCGCGATTCTATTGCCCTATCCTTGCTCGCCATCCCAATATTCATTATGGTTCGTAACGGATGTACTTTACGTTGGCAACTACATACTAAACTAGAAGCAGCCCCATTTGCGAGGTCTACCAAATCCAATCTTATACAGAGTTGCAGCATATCTCGAGAGCAGCGAAAAATTTGCTCTTGCGAGATCATGTCGAAATCTCCAAGCCAGGCTACAGCCGGCCATACTTGCAATCAACGTCGAATGTCAAAACAGCAATTTGCTCGGCCTCGCTGCCATGAACAACGATATTGACCTCGCCGAAAGACTTCTATATCGGAGGGCAGACGTGAACGCGTTCTTTCGAGGGAAGACCCCGGTGATGAGGGCTCTCAAGTACTCATCCTATGACGTATTGCAGCTCCTGCTGGAAAGCCCCACGCTGGATATCAACCTCCAAAACCAGGCGCAAGAAAGCGCGCTGTGGTATGCCGTCACATACGGAACATGCTCTGTGCTACAAAACTTGTTGCAGGTCCCAAAGTTACAAGTTGACCTCCCGCACAGGCGAGGACGAACGGCCCTCCATCTCGCGGTCTGGTGGGGCAAAACAGGCCTGGCGCGTCTGCTCCTCTCCAGCGGCGGCGATCCTCTCACTACAGATGACTTTGGCAAGTCACCCCGCGCATGGGCATGGCGCATCGGCCGGCCGTCCATGAAGTGGATCTTTGTAGGCCCACAGGAAGCTAGGCACTCGCTCTCTTTCTACAGGCCATCCGCTGGTTATCAGACAACTGATAACAGCGAGCTGCCGCTCCACCAAGCAGTAGCCCATGGATCCGCAGACGCTGTCAAGCTACTTCTGACGCAGAAGGAGTTGGCTTTGGATGCTCAGGATCACAACGGGGATACTCCACTCCACCTCGCTGTTCGATGTCGGCGTCTGGCAGTGGTGGAATTGCTGCTGAGCCACCCGTGTGCCAGTATCAATTGTCGAGACAAAGACGGCAACACTCCGCTCTGGTTGTCGACATTCTTATCGCGCGACGAAATGACCGAGAGGTTGCTAAAGGCGGGTGGCATTGATATCAACTTTGTAGGTGGTCGTGGTCAGACCCAATCGCCTTCCACTTCGCTGCACCACGCGGTCGCAAGGAGTGACACTGTCGCTCTGCGGGGGCTTCTCGAGATACCTGGCATCGACCCAAACCTCTGTGTGGCAGGCGTCTCTCCTTTCTCCGCGGCGGCCGCGAAAGGCAGCACTCATGCGATGGCGATGCTCTTGAACAAGGGAGGCTTAGAGATCAATGCGACCGAGTTGGCAGATCCGCCCCTCTGTCGAGCGGTGGAAAACGGCCGCTTGGAAGCGGTAAAGCTCTTGGTCCGGCAGGGCGAGGCTCTGGCAATTAACCAGAGCACTGTTACCGTCCAAGACACCGCCTGTGTGTCTCGCCGCCCGGGCGGGCGACTCGGAGATGGTGCGAGTTTTACTGCGCCATCCCAAAGTTTGATCCCAACCACCAGAATCGTTGGTTCGAGGATCCTTTGTTGCTTGCAGTTAAAGGCGGACACTTGGTGGTCGTTGAAATGCTGCTGCAGGACCCGAGAATGAGGCTTACCAGTTTGTGGGCATCGCTTTATTTTGTCGAGGAGGGTCCAATTCGGCAGGCAATCCAGAAGCGGGTCAATGATCTCCGCAGCCGTCGAAGTACAAGTACAATCTCATCATTAAAATGGAGAATCGGTGGATTCCTCAAAAATCAGCAAAAGACTTGTATAGCAGGGCGATACAAACTGCATTGAAAGGCCGGCGGAGGTGTGGAATGGGATGGTGGAAGGCCAGGAACTTGATGGATTGAGAATAATGCCAACCGTCATAGGACGCGGCGTTGATAGCTCGACAGTAATCAAGTATAGATACTGCCACAGAATGTTTCTCTCTGCATCAATTCATGAGCGACCCTGTTGCTGATCCTCATCTATGCGATATGGTAAACGGGCTTAGATTGAAACATGCGTCGTTATAGAGCTCCATGCCGGGTAAGAAGCTGATAATTGCGGGTGTGGAGAACATGTTGGGCTTCGCGTGCCTTCTGTCATGATAGCATATAAGAAACCTCTGAAGATTCTCTTCTCCCAGCCCATGCAGCTCACTTCGTACATAAAGAAAATGGACGCACCAGATCGCTCTTCATCGACCGAGCGACCAATTAAAAGACAGCGGCAGCGCCCCAAACACTCTGGGGATGACACTACCGCCAACCTGCATGGCATATTCCGAGAACCTTCGGGGCATGAAAGTATCGAGTTCAAGGTCAGAATCTTCCCAGTAGCAAAATGGGAGCCTAGTTGACATGTAATAGAACACCACTGGCGCTGCCAGCCTTTTGCCAACCGAGGCCAAGCAGATTTTCCGGATGGGCTCTTCCATCTCGAGGCCAGCTCTCGACCTACTCGACCTATTCCTATGTCTCTGGCAATGTTATGTTGTCAAATCTGCTGAGAAAATCCGACTCGAGAGCGAACGACGCCAACTTTCGCTGTCCAATGACGAACTAAAAGCCGAAAATGGTCTTCTACAGCAGCGTTGTAATGAGCAGGCCCTGGTACTCTGGGACCGTGGGCGTGCAGCCCACGCTGTTCAGAATGGAATCGTGTCGATACTACGGACGTGTGACCGGAATTTTGACTAGAAAAATTATCTCTGAGTGATCAACAAACATTGGTGAATATGTATCAAAGCGAGGACGTTGGATGGTCTTCTCTTACGATGAACGGGCATGACCGTTGAGACGTCGATGCAGCCGAGAGTTAATCCCCGTTGAAATTGTGACTATCTATACCTTGCTCAAATAGAATTATCTATGGACCTTTGATAAATACGATGTCTGGCTCTGATATGAAGGTTAAATTGGCCTATTGCTCGCTCCCTTTCTAACTCGCAAGTTTGTCGATCCAATACCAATGATCCAGTTCTGTTCTCTCCAGCTCCTTGAACTACCGACGTCCGAGGAAATGAATCATTTGGCCCAAATGGGTTGGTAAAGTCCATTTCACATCTCCCAAAACGTATACTTACCATCAAGCAGACTTTGTTTCCGATGATGACATCCACGCAGCCTGGCAGGAGTCCTCTAACGTACCCGCTGTACCCCCCTGCCTTGCTACCGACCGCCGTGGATTGAAGCGAACTTCATTCAACTTATCAGGGGTCTCCAGCTCTGAGGTTTACGGGCTATCTTTGGTCGACTGTGTTTTTTATCCGAATCATGAAACCCAACAAAGCTTTCTGTGGACAGGTCCGGATCCTCTGTCTCCGTCTACCAAGGCGGAGGATATTTTTGTGCACTTTTCCGCTTTCTTGCTACCGGAGAAAGTCTACTGGGTGGAGTTTCGTCTTTCAAGATTTGACTCTCTCAGTGAGGAGTTGATGGGTGAGCACCTTTTTTTCTTGCCACGATTCGAGACAGCGATGGGGAATCTTTCTCGGGTGCGCAAGCAGATTCTCGACATCATCTCCCAAGTATGCTCTGCGGCGCAGACAGCCCGCTTCCGACTGTCGATGTGGCCCCGCTTGGAACCCCTTCCTTTCACCCAGCACTTCATGATGTCGCCGTACTCCACCCTGCCTACGTTGCCATGCCTTGATCCGGGGTTCTTCGTCCATAACCTCTGCGGAAATTTCAGATAGAAATGGCAGTTGAACTGACGATACATAATCAGAAATACAACGAGTGTACACGAGCACAGATGGTAATCTGGGCTACTCATCCCTTCAAATGAATTTCATTTTGATTTTAAGACTCAAGGTAAGACCAAACTGTGCTAAAAAGGAATGCCCCGGCAATTAATTCATGTGCTCTGTGCTCTATTCTAAAGGAAAACTGTCTCGAGAGATCCGCATTTGGGGCTTGAATGAAAGATAACTCTGTTTATTTTTTTTTCTTATAAGCCTGATTTCGCCTTTCCGTTTATCGTTATCGAAAACTCCTTGATTACTCATTCCTTTATTTCATCATAAGAGCAAGAATCTAGTCGTATTTGAGCATCTATTTTTTGCCTGCCTCTTGCCTGTATTCTGCCTGCATAACCTCCGCAACATTCTGCTAACGGGTACGAAAAAGATACCAGAGGCTGATGAGGCTGGTCAAAATCACGAGGATACCAAGTACAATCTGACCAATAGCCCCGTGGTATACAATGCTGCAACGAGGCAGGGAGCCTCGATCATCGATTGCTGCAAAAATGTCGAGAAATCCATGCATTTGGTCCATAATATACCCACCCACAGCGAGTACAACCACCCCGAGGATTAGTTGGGTAATAAAAAAGCTGTCAAATGCAGTCGTGCCATCTCGTACCCAACTTGGGTAAGCGAGAAGTGTGAAACCAAACAAGGAGAAGAGAACCGAGGAAAGTGCGACAATAACCATTGCCTTGCGAAAGTCCCTCATGAGCTCTCGCAATGCGTCGTACAGGATGGGGCTGTCGAATTCATTGAGGCCAGCTGTTATCTGGTCTCGCAAAGTATCTGCGAAACGAGCAGTGACAGAATTAAAAGCAGCGACTAGCAGCCAAATAGTGGTGAGAGAAAAGACACCGAGACGAACAAAGATACGGGATGTATCGGTATATTGAGACATGGTGGAGTTTAAAACGAGGAAATCGAGATGAATCTAGCCAGAAGGTTGAGCTGCAACATTTCAGGATCATTCAGACTGAGGATGAGTAGGTACAGTAAAATAGAGGGGACAATAAGGCGATCATTTGGGCACCAGCATATAAATACTTTCCATATTTCAAGGCATATGCGAATGCATCATCCCTGCGAGCCCTCACATGACAAAAGTTGGTTGCCTACAATTCCTTTCTAGCTCCAGCTCGTCAATGCATACCTCATAACCATACTATCCTAGGAGCAGACAAGGAATGCCATTCAGCCCCAGCTGCTGGGATGATCGGCAAAATAGAAAGGTTTAAAATTGCTCAGAATCCTTATTGCTCCCAGGAATCGGACATAACTTTCAGGAGTTCTTTCTGAAATGGAAATGCCCGGAACGAATAGATCATTTTGCTACTCACTGTTTGCACATACAGCTTCATGCCAATTATGTACTACTCCTTCTTCTGCTGTATTATGGGTGCACTGGGCATTGGTGGATAGTAAATGGGTTATTTCGAGGGACCGGATACGGCAGGATGGTACAAACAGACTTGTAATGCTTAGGTTCTATACACCATTCGCGAGCTTCTAGTACCTTGAGATATGTTTCAATATCACTTTTCGGAGGTGGCAATTCTTCACCGGCTCGGAGCCAGCACTATGTTCAACCTGTACCTTATGAACATCGCCAGTCTCTGACAAACTGGAAAAGCGGCCAATTACTGCTATGGCCTTTGAGGATAGGCTGGTTCCTGTTTCACTCCATTTCCCCAAGTAATGGTATGGTATTCAGACTGAGTCTGGATATTATATCGCAACACATTAGAGCACGGACAGTATAGTCTCAGAGATCGCTCAACAACCGATCTTTGGACCTCCAATCAATCAATCAACCAATCAATCACCTGATTCTATTTGACATGTTCAGTATTAGCCAGTACATCATTTCCTCATCCCGACACTTCGCCGGGGCACAACTATCGCAGCCGCGCGTCCCAACGGCAGTCTAACGATAGGAGCGGCAATTAGGCCACGGCAGGCTTTGATCAAGCTCTAAGATCGTTTCAGCAAGTGGAGCATGACTTAATGTACAAACACGGATATATCTGGTTAAAGCATCGAGTCATTATTTTGAAGTTTAGGAGTTGCATATATTCAATTCCGTGCAATGTTGTGACGAGATCGCACCCCGGTTCCAACAACGAGTGGGTCCATGATGAAGTTGATTGGATATCTTCGCGCCCAAGCCATGCCAAGGAACAACGCCGCGCTAATCCTGGTCAACGACCTCCTGTCACCACTCGATGTCCGACTCCCTCTGACTGATGAAACGGAGTCGGTTTTTCACTCTTGTGCATGTGTGATCTCTAGCCACGAAAATGATCTCCTTCGATTGGTCACATCGACAAATATGAAACGTGAAGCCGCGTCTGAATCGCGAGGCTGCAATAGTGAGAGTGATGAGCGACCAGCAAAAGTGCCCCGGCGAGGAAGCTCAAGCACGAATCCAGGGCCCTTGAAGCTCGGGCAAGACCTCGGCAGAGTACAGCAGCCACTCTCTCCACTCTCGCCTGATTGTAATAGCGAAGTCAGTTTTCAATCTCGTCTCTCAATAGCCATTTGACTGACTGCATAGGATCCCAATACCCTAGAGCATCGAATACCACCTCCGTCTCTCACGCATGCGCCCACCGAGCTCACGGACGGAATATATCAGTGGATACCTGCCCCATCGGAGGTCGACGCGCTTGAGACAATGAGTCAACCATCATCGAAAAGGTCGCGATCACGTTCGATCTCAACGGATCGGGGGCGTGCTCGGTCGGTTTCGTCGGAGAACAGCGAGAGCAGCTCGGCCCGGGACACCAGATCATATGCCTACAGAGCCGTCAACTATGTCACTATTTTGGAAACCAAGGGCTGCTTCATGCGACCGTCCCCCGCCGGCCCGGTACCCGACGATATTGCGCTTTGTGAGCGCCTTCTCGCTCAGCCGGTCGAGCCTCCTACCGGTACACTTTTCGACGACTTGTACCTCACAGACTTCCATAATGCATTGCGGAATCGATCTGAAGCGCGTCTCCTGGTGGACCTACACCCCCTCATTATGCCATCCGCGGAAAATCAGTACATCCAGGGGAATGAATCCTTGAAAGACGTGATTGATGGATACAATGATCCGTGGCTGAAGACCGAGCCAATATACGGTCCGAAACCGCAGCCCGACCACGCGCGCGGATTGAAGTGGTCGACCTTTTCCGAGAGCCAGCGGCGCAAACTGGGGATCAAGCCGGACGAGAAATCACCGTATACGGCGCGAGAGGATATGTACTTCCCTTACTTGACGGCAGAAATCAAATGCGGGAACCAAGCGCTGGAGCTTGCCGACCGGCAGAATATGCACAGTATGTGCATTGCCTGCGGGCTGTGGTCTCTCTGTGCCAAGCGGCGGGCTGCACAGAAGAGGTGCATCGACGGATTTTGGGGTTTTCGGTCTCTCATGAGCTCGAAGGCGTTCGTTTGTACGGCTACTATCCTGAGGTCGATGGTGGCAAAGTGTCATTTTACCGCTGGCCGGTGGCGCAACTCAACATCTGGACCAAAGAGGATCGGTGGACATGTTATCGGTTCGTGGAAAACGTGGATCGCGAATTTCTGCCTATCCATACTCACCGGCTATTGCGGATACTTGAAGGAGTTCCGGACCCAGACGAGGGTTCTTTAAGTGTCGTTGTCGACGGTCCTGACTCACAGCTGTCCGTGGGTGGATCGCAGGAACGTCTGGGGTATCGCAGAGTTGCATCCTCGCAGAATCGTGGTTTGCAACCGGAGCTACGCATGATGGTTCAAACATTACAAGAACAATTGGCTGAACAGAAGGATCGAGAGGAGAAACGAGAAGCGGAGCAGAAAGCACGGGAAGAGAAGCGAGAAGCAGAACAGAAGGCACGGGAAAAGAAACTTCTCGCCCAACTAGAGCAGCAAAAGCTCCAGGAAGAGCAACGAGAAATGGAACAGAAGGCACACGGAGAGAAGCGAGAAGCGGAGCAGAAATCACGGGAAGAGAAGCGAGAAGCAGAACAGAAGGCACGGGAAGAGAAACTTCTCGCTCAACTAGAACAGCAAAAGCTCCGAGAAGAGAAGCGAGAAGCAGAACAGAAGGCACGGGAAGCAGAACAGAAGACACGGGAAGAGAAGCGAGAAGCAGAACAGAAGGAACTGCAAATGAAACTTCTTGCCCTTTTAGAACAGAAGGATAATTCGAAATGAGCATAAGAGTAGTATCTATGGATATTCATGCAAAGACTTTCAACTATGCTTGTGTTAGAGGACCCTGCCTCTTTTGGTATTAGCGCCCCAACCGTAGGGGTAGATAGGCCAATGGGGACGCGGTGTGCTTCGACACGTTTACACCGCGACGGTCTCTCCACTGGGGACGCGTGCTGCCGCACGTTGTAAGCCCTCAAACGACGTGGCATAAATGGTCTTCGATGTGGAGGACGTGGCAGTATAAAAATTGGCGTTGTGGGACCTAGTCAAATCGGTGAAGCCCAAGTTGCAAGCGTGTCGGCCCTTAAAACGATGTAAGTGGATGTTTCTATTTCTACCATGAGATCAGGACCAGGAGAAAAGCGGAGGTCATCAAGAGTAATCTTTTGGAGCAAATTGAGACATTGGAAAGACCGCAGTCAGGAAAGTTGCACGTAGAGTGAGCATTTATTTCGAAAGGGATCTTGTCCTCGTCGAGCTATACATGTAGTAGCCCACCAAAAAGTCTGCAGTTTTTGACAGATGGTGTCCCCGAATTCGTAGGTATCATGTAAGGCTCAAAAACCTGTATTTCGCATGCTGGGTTTGACGGCCTTGAAACAAACAGACTACTAAAAAGAAGACGAAGGGGGAAAAGGTGCTTGGGGTGTCACTATCCTGTGGAAGGGCAATGGTTATGGGGTTAACGGTAGAACGGGCCTAGATTTTTCAGCAGATGAGTATAGCAGCACATGAGGCATAAGACAAATTTTCACATGAACACACACTCGGAATTTGAATGGCAAATTCCAAATGGCAACAAAACATATCTGTACTCTAGCCGGAGACAGCAGCTCATTTTCCTTAGTCGTAAAAGGAAGGAGAGAAGGGAGTATTTTCTGAAGTGGTCGCTCGGTATGCAATCGTGGAGGGGCTTTCACTCAGGTATGCCCTCTCTGGGAAGCCCTCTATGCCATCCGGATACCTAGAGATGGCTGTGAGAATTTCAGATGTGGGGGCTAGTTAAAAGGAAAGATACCCAAAGTTAGCTATTGTGAGCCTGGAACAATGGGTCTTATGTGCAGTACCTACCTTCTGGGGGCAAACCACGATAATCCTAAAGTTGTCCATCTCCGAGTTGTGACGCTGGATGCATGAAGTTATCGGCTGCGACAATGTCGCCTGGTTGACCAATATCTCGAACAAAATGTGGCATCCTGTTTGCGTGGCTTGTCTCGTGGTACATCCTCATTTGTCGTTTGAAAGCAGTATGAATTGCTCCAAAGCTCTTCTCATGTTGAAAATCTGCCAGGAACTCAGCTTGGATCTCTTCCTTATTCAAATGTCTTCTTTGCATAAACCAGAATGGTAAGCGCTCCAGGTCCTGGGTTGCCCATCGACGATTGCGGGATCTGGCTTTTTCTCTATCAGCTCTAGCCTTTTGTATGGTATTTATTGCGTCACTTACCTGCTTGAGGTCTATTTATAATCTGGACCTCTATATGTGATTCAGGAATTGGTGCGCCTTTTCTCCCGCCATGTGTAGAAGTGCGCGAAGCATTCAATTGACGTGTCGCAGAATATGGGACTCCATCCGGCAGATTGGACCCGCCTGGCGCCTGGCAAACGGCAGCTTCGCTATGTTTCAAAGTCTCTGTGGGGTAAGGGCTCGAAAACGTCTTTGGGAAATCTCGAGATACTGTTTGTGGTTGACAATTTTCGGTCACAGTGTTACCATGAAAGGTGAGACCTGTGTTGTTGACTGGGTCTGTCAGCACTGACACGCGTTCATCATTTCCGTCCCGTAGATCGGTACTTCCTCCTGTACCGTAGCGTCCTATGCCAGTATTGCTCTGGCCTTCCATGGCTTCAGCTTCTGGATCCAGAGGCGTGGGCCTCCTGACCAATAAGTCATGTTCAGCCAGCTTCTCCCTGTCGTTGGATGGGCTCACGATACTTGGCCGTAGTTCTGGGAGGCTATTTTGCCGATCATAACAGGTCTTGCCACATTCATTTCTCGCTTCCTCAAGGGATTGTCTGCGGTTTCCGCTCTCCTCGCTAGGATTTTGATGCAGACAGGTATGGTTGAAATTCTCTGTTTGTGGATAGCAATGCTCCATCAGGGGCCCCGGTTGGCAACTAAGACTCTGTCGTTTTTCAGAATCTTTCGCGGGCATCCACAACGGTGCATCTGGAAGGGTGACTCGCCGACCATTTCGGCTATGTAGCCTTTTCCTCTGGCCCATTCTCAAGGGGGCTCGTCCGAGCAGTTTATTCGCCATCATCCTAGAAGCTGGCATTGTTTTCCTACCCTGGAAACTCCGTCTAGTAAGCTTGCCGGGAAGGCTACTTCGGAATTTCCTCCTGCGCCACATGCGATGCGCTCTTTTGAGCTCCTTCAGGGATGACCATGCTTTCTCGACTAGAGTCTTTTTATTGGGAACTGCCGCGTAACCTAAGCCTTGATCATGCTGGGCCTGCTCCAAAACTAGGCTTGATGGATACATATTCGAATGTGTTGATTCTTTCCATTTGTTCAAAATATCTTGAAGCGCTCGAGTTCTCTGGTTAGCCTTTCCGATTACCTTATTGTTGACTTCAATCACTGTGGCTCAGGGATTTGCCGGTCAGTGAAGGCACAATAATTTTTATACCGGATCAGGCGTAACGTAACTCACCTTTTGATGCAAGTTGGTTCGAAATTGCAACCATCTCGGCAGTGAACGACAGTGTATATAACTCTGTTTGGACATCTCTCTTGTAGTACCAAGGTTGAATCAATTTATGTGGTAGGCCGGAAATCATCATATTATGCTGGAAATCTGACAACTCCGCAGTAGCGTTGAAGTCATGCAGATAATAATGATAGACTTCGGCTTCCTTGAATTCGATTTTGGATCTGTCTGCATTCATAACATCCAGCCAAGTGATGGTCCTCTGCATCGTACCATCTTCGAGCTGGATGATTTTCGGGCTTGGAGAACCAAAGATAGCATCTATCCCTTTCATAAGATTGACACTGATCATCGAGGCATTGTAAACGACCGCGAGGCTCGCATTTTTGTTAAATTGATCCAATATCTCCTGGGATTCTTCTAGGGCGAGGCAAAGTCTTTCTTGCAGCGGTTGGAACTGCTCCAGGAGACTTTCTCTTAACTCCAGAAAATTGCCTCCTTGGCGATGATTTAGGCTTTGATTTTCTTCGGAGAACATAGATTCAGTCTTGCGACTGGTGGAGTCTTAATCGTGGCGGTTGGCTGTAGGCTCGTGATGACTGTGATATTCTTCTGGAAAGTCATAGAGATCAGCAGGTGCTGGTTCCTTACATCGAGATTCGTTGCCTACCTTGTGGGACCAGAGAAGATGTGGTGGGTATGAGGCGGAGAAAAAAAAGTTATTTTCTCAGAAGTCGATGATGAGTGGGAAATTTATAGCCCATGAATCTCTGGTCATGGAAGATAACCGGCTCTGAAAAGCATAGGAAATCACAGGCCAGTCTATTTGACATGGCTATGCCGAAGACAACGTTGGCAGCACGTTAGATCACTTTACTGATGATGAAGCATCACTGAAATCAACGTTGACACATCAATGACTCTGCTGAGATTCCCTATGCACATCACGCTCCAGATTTGTGACTGCCGATATGCTGTTCCGGGAGTATCTGCTGCCTTGGGCTCGTGACATCAATGGGGCCTCATTGTGAAGATAGATCACACTTCCTCGGGGCTGCTTATAGTATGCAGTCACTCAGCCGCTGCTAGCATCTCCTGTCGCACTTTGAAAGCATTGTCTTTGCATTATATAGCATCGTCGAGTAATGTGATGGAGATCTGATCTTTTGTTCAAGCGTACGTCCAAATGCGGGAGATATTCCTGAAATGCTGAGTTCAGACGGAGTGACCCACTTTTCGACACACATTTCAGATACTACAGGTAACGAGGTCAATAAAGTAAAATTGAATGGGAAGTTGAAGATTCAGAGTACATAGAAGTTTCTTTTGCTTGGGCTGACCATGTTCAGGTGCATGCCGCAATTCACTAAGGTCCCGAACATAAATCGGATCGAGCCATACACCACGCCTCACGGAAACTCAATCTGCAAGAAATGCATCACCTCGGAGATCAAGTCCTGCTCGATACCTCCAACGAGTCGCTTGATCACGTCAGTGGGTATCGATCGTTCTTGTAGTTGTGTGCGAAGAGAGAGCTCGGGTAAACGAGGATGAGAGGGAACAGCCTGCTGTGGCTGCACTTGCACCCTGCTTGACTTCGGCAGGGTTTTCTGTAGGAACTCAAAGAGACGACAGAGACTCTCTGCGCTATGGTTTTCGTCGATGCGAAGGCAGAATTCAATGGCAGCACAATTCTTCTCAAGCAGACTATCTCTGTTTTGGGCCAAGCGATGAACAGCGGCGTGGCGAATGCCGGCGATCGAATGGCGCAAGTTCTGAACAGTGGTGATATTTTCACCATGTTGCTCAGACGAGATCTTCGATCGGTTTCTAGCTAAGAATTTGAAGAACTTATGCAGCTCCAGTGCCTCGGGGCATGTCCATCCAACGGCCAAAGACTGTGGTTGAAGCCATTTTTGAACAAATTGGAAAGCGGAATGCTCGAGGTGGCGTTGCAGCGTTTGGAGGATCAAATGTTGTGCTCGAAAAGGGATAGACGTCACATGAAGTCCTAGGATGGGAAACAAGATCTCTATAAACTCTACCGATCGTAATTAGCGAAGGCACTCTAGTCTCTTGTTTTAGCTTACCCTTAGCTTTCAGTCCCCGGCTCTGTTTCAAAAACGATTTCAAGGACCTTCGACAGTCAATTGTGGAATTTTTCAATTTTGAGAGGACCGCGAGGTCATTTACCGGTAGCTGATTGACTGTGGAGACCAATGATGGACAGCGGTGGAGTCTCTATTGGAGCACGACGAAATCATTTTCCGACGACGGACTCGGCGTCGACATCTCTTCATCGATGGTACCTCGGCCGGCTTGTGGACGTGGGTACACGAAGTACCCTGGTCATCCTGTGCTGGCAAGTGAAATAAAGATTTGGGCGGCATGACGAGTTGCAGTGACTGCGACTTGCGACGGAAAATAAATCGGCTAGGCTGAGGGAAATCATTTTTCTCTCTCACGGGGCGAGAGCAAAAGTTTTACAGGCGAAAAATTCCGCGGGCAGGCAAGCGATCTGCCAAGGCGAGTCTTCCATGGAACGACTCTACATATTAGCTGCGTGAAGACCGTTTCACATCGTTGAGCAATGTTGAGACCAATGATTTGCAAATTGATTGGCTACGGTCCCAGCGAATATTGGCAGACTTCTGCTGCCACGAGAGATTAAGCCGCCACGGCGACTAGCCCATGGCATGCCACTTCAGTCTAAACCTCATACCAAGTGCGTTGCAGGCCGTTTAAGCTGGGTGAATCAATGTTGATGAGGCAAATGATTTGTCACGCATCGCATCATGCCGACCACGGCTCCAGGTGGATCCAGCCACTCCACCCGCTCTCCACTCCAAACTCTTGAAATTTCTTATTTCAACGTTGACAAACCGCCTCAACACCCACAAAATTAGGGTCGCCCGGTGCGAATTTGAAGTCAAATCTCTGGACTCGGCAAAATGTACGCAAGTGGTCGCTGCCGAAACCCCTACTCAGAATAGCATAAAAGACGCTCTTTTCCTGCCGAAAAGGAAAGTAGGACTTTCCTCCTCGCACTCCGGGCCTCGCAGCCTTGGGGTGTCTTTTGCAGGTAAGATCTGCGTTACCAAGTACTCTTCGCAGGACGGGCTCTGCGTGATCAAGTGTGCCTCGCGGGACGGGCTCCGCGTCATCAAGTTTGCCTCGCAGGAGACCGCTGCGATACCAAGTTCTCCGCAGGAGACCGCTGCGTCACCAAGTTCTCCGCAGGAGAGTGCTGCGTCAACAAGTTCTCCCTCGCAGCAATGAGCCCTGCGATTGTAAGAGTGCGCTTCCTCACAGCCAATGAGCCCTGTGTTGTATAAGTGCGCTCCCTCACAGCCAATGAGCCCTGTGTTGTATAAGTGCGCTCCCTCACAGCCAATGAGCCCTGTGTTGTATAAGTGTGCTCCCTCACAGCCAATGAGCCCTGTGTTGTATAAGTGCGCTCCCTCACAGCCAATGAGCCCTGTGTTGTATAAGTGTGCTCCCTCACAGCCAATGAGCCCTGTGTTGTATAAGTGTGCTCCCTCACAGCCAATGAGCCCTGTGTTGTATAAGTGTGCTCCCTCACAGCCAATGAGCCCTGTGTTGTATAAATGTGCTCCCTCACAGCCAATGAGCCCTGTGTTGTATAAATGTGCTCCCTCACAGCCAATGAGCCCTGTGTTGTATAAATGTGCTCCCTCACAGCCAATGAGCCCTGTGTTGTATAAATGTGCTCCCTCACAGCCAATGAGCCCTGTGTTGTATAAATGTGCTCCCTCACAGCCAATGAGCCCTGTGTTGTATAAATGTGCTCCCTCACAGCCAATGAGCCCTGTGTTGTATAAATGTGCTCCCTCACAGCCTTGAGCCCTGTGATTGTATAATCTTGAGCTTCCATGCAGCCTTGAGCCCTGCGTTATCAAATTTGCGCTCATTAGGCGACCCGTGGCGCCGCGGCCCTCGTCCTGATCCTCTGGCGATTGCAGGCACCTCTTCGTGGTGTCAGAGACTAGTATTCGAGGGAGTCCTCGAAGAAGCCAAGACCTGCTCCAAAGAATCAATAGAATCAAGAATCCAACAAGACATGGTGTAAAATGACTTCAATATTGTATGTAGATGCCGCCGTACATGACTCTAGTTCGCCCAATGTAATTTGTAGCGCTCAACCACACCCTTAGCTTCGAGAATGAACATTCTCTTCCGCGTAGTGTGAATTAGAGCATCGAGTCATGGCTGATAGTGAGGATGACCAGTCGGGATGGCGGCTGAAATTCGAGTGGTCTCTATTGGTTTGGGTATTTGTCCCTGCTAGCTAGAGTGGCAGCAGAATTCGTCCGAGTGAAGGGAGATGCGAATTTTCGGCGGTGGGTGGGTGGTGTGTCGTTGTGTCGATGGTGTTGACGTTTTTATGGTGAGAGCATTTTGACAGTGAGGGCATGTTGACGGAGATGGACGGTGGTGGATGGTGAGGGCCAAAGGTGAGGGAAAATTGAGAGTGAGAGCTGGTGATAACGGGGCCGGACCAGTCCCTTTGTTGATGTGCAGTGCGGGTGACTCCCGGGCGGTGAAGTGGTCGCCAACGGTAAACACCGGTCCCGTCATAGTGGGGATCTTCGTTCCCTCACGAATGCAAAAGTGGATAAACAGTGCGAAATGATGATTTCTAGAAATGAGATTCTATATGGTACTGTAGTACGTACTCCAGGAGCTCTTCTGTATGACATTTTCTCGGCTTGGGCATCGTCGCGTGCTCTTTGGCCATATTCTGTACAATCTCTGAGGTAGTGTCTCTGTATTCTGATTCGATGTCTGCAATATATGTATCCCTAGACGGGTGCTATCACGTACATTACTGTCGGTCAAATCGGCAAAGAACCATTTGAGTAGCACCGATAGAAAGCCTCATTCTTCTAAGCATATTTCATTTTCGTTTTGTGTCGACCTGATCGATTGAAAGACACTTCTGGAGCTCGAAACGCTGATCTTGCCAGATGTATGCTATTCTGACCAGGTGATGGATATAATTTAGCAAATATACCGCTATTAGCTTTTCTGCCTGCGTGGTCTAGTGGAATTTCTCATTTGCTTTCACTAACGGCACGGGCTCGATTCACGGAGGGTACATCAGTTGAACTTTAGCCAGGTCGACGGAACCCGCCCATGCGGTCCGCTTGAACTCACAGCCCGCTTCATGTTTTACGAATCATTTTCCAGTATCCGCCCTGCGGATTAATTTTTAACTTTTGCCCATCTCAAATGAGAATGGCAAAACCACCTTTGCGGAGTCGATTGAACATTTCCGCCAGAGTCAGCAAGCGGCGTTGAAATTGATGGTCATCGAGGACCTGCCGTACCAGACTCATGCTACGGGGGGCAAAGGCTGGCGCGTCGCGTAGAACACACGTGCCCCGCCCACACGGAGAGTAACATCAGCGGCTGCGTTTGATGTCAGTGAGTATGTTCTCTTCACCATATATCACAAACCGACCGGCTTCTTTCAAATAACAATTGGGCCATTGTGGCCGTCTCGGCAATCGACTGGCTGTACTTGCAAGACAGCTTCTGCTGGCGAGTCCGTGCCCCTCGGCGGTGGCATGAAGGGGGCATTCGGTTGGCTTGCGGCTGCATTGAGCATAGCATTAGCCTCTAGCGACTTTACTATGGTTAGTTGACTACCGAATTATTCTGATGAGAAGGTACTTACCAGGATCAATCATGAAAGAAGCCATGGTGGCAGCTTTCAATGACCGTCTGCATCAGATCACAGGCAAGGCAATTTGCCGCTGGATTTTTCAATCTAGCACTGATTATCAGCATCTGGCGCAGGATGTCGCTCGCAACTTACCTCGTTCGCGGCCTAGATGAGGTCCCCAGCTGGCTATAGTGCACTTTCTCGATCGGACTCGTCAGAACGGCTGAACTAGGGCTGTCTTTCACTGCCTCTCTATGTTGATATGATTTCTGGTGACCGAGGGTGGGATAGACTTGCCGTGATTCAGCCTGGAATCAGTATAGGCATTCCAGGGACGAGGTAGCGGGCTCAATTCGACCACGTGTGGAGGGCCTGGGATCACATCATTTCACGGGGAATGGATGTAGGCGTACCTGCCAATGCACGATTCTGGGCAAATATTCATCCATGCCAGGGCAAAGTACCACTAGAAAAGAGATTCATGGTATTTTGTTTGCGACAAATTCGACCAGACCTGAAAATGACTGCTCTCGCGGCGAGGGATCTGTGATAGCTATAAGCCACGGCTTATCTTATCGCTTGCTCAGCTCAAATCAGGGGTTGAAATAACTGGCCTTTAGACTATCGCTAATAGCTCGTTTCAATTCGCTGATTGATGCTCCCCGGGGAAATAGTTGTCTTTTTCTGTGGCCGTCGATTCTCGGCTTCTCTTCGTTGTCGCGGATGCTCCGACGGCTCGCTCGGTCAACAGCGAGGCCGGCTCATGGCTACCGACAAGCCTTCGGATCGGACGTGGGGCAGGAGATTCATAGCCGTCAGAATATGGCAACTTGCTAATACATTGATTGTTAGCCTTTGTGAGGACAGGGTAATGCCGAAGAGACGAATGAAAGCACTTTGGAATTTTACCGCATGGCTAAGCAGGGGGCATCAAGACTTTCTGAACTGGGCCTGCTAATAAGCCAGCTGAAGTGGTCGTGTCAACCACGTCTTCAGAGACAATAAGGGCGCAAGCGGAGTGATATTCAGTGGCTTGGCTGATCAGGTTGTTGAAGCTGGTCTAGCTTCGGGCCGGAGGGGGATGAGGGAGCATAGCTTGATCACGTCGAGGGTAATATTGACATTCGCCCTATGAAAAAAAGAATCATCAGCGATCTTTTCTGAAGAACAGAGGGCCACGAACGGATAGCAATCGTACGGAGATTGAGATGCAGTACCGGGCGTTGGGAATGGGCAGGGGCAAAGCCCAAGCGTAACTTACAAGACATTGAGTGACTCGCGATAGAAAGTTTGCCATCCTATATAGAGTTTCGTCAGCACATGATATCTGCCTTGAAAATTGAAATTTGCAACTTACGTTCTCAGATATTGCTGTCCGCTACAGGGGACTGTATAAAAGATGACGTCTATTTATCATCGATCATCAGTAGGTATCTCATGAAGACAACGTGTAACTCACCCTGCTCACAGCTTGGATCATTCAGGACCGGCAAGGTTCGCTCAATGGGTTCTCGGAGGAATAGTGGAGGCGGGGCTGCTATTGAGTATCTTCTGCATTAGCATGTTTTCAAATGATTGGGCAGCTACACTCACTGTTCGAAGACTTGACTATTGAGAAAAGTTAGGCTATTGTGATGTAAGAGGTCAGCTCATTCCATTGCATGATTTGGAGGTCAATCCATACTGTACCAGATAGTAGCCGTGGAGACGGATTATGTTTGACGCTCTTTGTTCCTGAATCACAAAGGAATCTTCGTGAACGACTTTTCAGCCGGCAAAGGACCGGGTTTTATAGCAATTCAGCCAGGTATTCACTCTGCACCAATAGGATCATCATTCTGAATTGTGAGGGCTCAAATAAAAACTCAATAATAACTGGCTCAACATTTCAACATTGGTTTAATGCAGTTCTCAGAGGCATTGCATTTTGCGCCTGGTGATCCGAAACATGAGAAACATTTTCTGACTGTTCGCATCGTATAAACAGTCGTGAGAATGCCACAGAAAAGAATTGATGACAGTTGTCAACATTCACCACCGTCAGTCCGCCCTTTATTGCGACGGGCGAGGTGACGAGGTCATGTCATTTCATTTCACTCACCGGCGATGAGCCCATTACTCCACGTAACATCAAATTATCAAAGACAGGCAGACCGCAAGGCTCTCCGTTGCCTACCTCGCATAGCGGAGAAGATCCATCACACCAACACAATATCAAGTAGATACAAGCTATGATATGGCACGGGACTGATTCGCACAGCCCCATTTCAAAACAGTGTTTATTGTACAGCGAGCCAGTCATTAGTTTGATTACGGGTTTGTAGAGCAAACCTCTGAGGTAAGCCGCGTCTTTACAAAGGTATTACCCACATAAATCTCCTGGGAACGAAGCGGATGCGGGTGGGTACTACTACTCAGAAATATAAGCCAATTAGTGCCATCAATGGCCCACATGCGAAAAAATTTCAATGCAATGATTGGTTGATAATGAGAATTTGGGTCCCAGAAGATTGTGGGCATTGCAGCCAGTCATTCTGCTTGAGCCGATGCATTGATAATTCTGAATTATGAGGGCACAAACGCAGATGGCCCTCCAATTGCGGCTGGTTCAGTGTCTCATCGTTGATTCAACGCGTATTTGAGCCCCTTCTGGTTTTTCTTGACCATCAAGTGTATCAATGGATTATCAGTCACTGTTGGGATCATCTCAACACCCCGCGATACCACAGGGAAAGGCTGAAGATCTAACGTTTCCCAACTTTGGTCTGTCCGCTGTTGCTACATGACGTACAGAAAGGTGACTTTTCGTTACCGTTTTACTTATCTAGATCTCACGAAAGATTTTTGACCTTCCTCATATCCCTGAACCTCACCAACTCATTTCTCTTTTCATCACAAGACTCTGATTTTGCAAAACGATTCTTCTCGCAGATCTGACATGTTATGCAATAATTCAAACGCCGTACAAATAAACTCGCGTCTTACCACATTCTTTCTTGCCACCACTTGGCTAGCTGTTGCTAGCCTCAGCTCCATAATTGCGTATTGTGCAAGTCTTCTTCTTGACCGCGCAACGCATGATCTAGCTAGTGGCAGCGGCTGGATTCTGGACATAGAATTCAAACGCCTCATGAACAAAGTCTTTGGTGGAGCACTCACAGTGGCAATTCTTTCAGCTTTTTTTCAATTTTTGGAATCGCTCTTCTTTTTCAGCCGAGATTGCCGAGCAAGGACAGTCAGGCTCGGTATTTTTACGGCTGCATCCAACTTTTGTTGAGCTTTCTTATCTTGTATGCATCGAAGGTTACCTTGCCAGTCAAGTCCGCGGCTTTCAGTCCTCTTTCAAATTCATCACAAGCCAGGACCATACTCCGTACTACGAGGTCATGTATTATGGCGCTACAAGCAAAGCTATCTTCGGCACTCTAGTGGCCATTTCCTATCTGGTTTATGTTTTCGCATGCCATTGATAAAGCCCATGGTATTTAAAGCAAATGGAAGTGTCAATAAAATTCTATATTATAGTTATGAAGCACTGGCAAGCAATGTTCACTGCAGATTCAATCAAGACGGACCATGGCCCCATTGGGCTGGAAGACGCCTTGAAATAGAACACTATTATGTACAAACTCCCCCGACTGTAGTGTGCCGTAAAAATCATCGCCTATACTGTACTTGATTTGGCATGTTGAAATTACTTATTGGGATATAGAATAGTGGTACGCGGAAAACAAGTTCAGTAGATAGTAGGCAGGGTTTTACGCAAAGACGATATCAGTGTTCAGATCCAAATCTTTCACTTCAGTGATAAAAGAAAGTCCCATACGCCAACATTCTAAAATTTCCATCCACGTAGTTATAATTAGTTTACAGTTTTTTCACTGAGCAAAAGTAAACTTGGCTAAAGCAACGCCTGGATTCTGAACATAGTACAGAACCTCTGACTTCCAGTGACAAAACATTGCATGCGATATAAAGAGGCGCCAATCAATCACGGAAAGAAACAATCCTTCGTTCCTATTGAGCTCCTTATCACTTAGACCTGAGAAGGATGCCCAGCGTCGCGTCGAGTACACATAATCCTGAGTGAACTTCCAACCCAGCATAAGAGCTGCGAGAAACATCCGCCACTGACACTGTAGAGGCTGAAGCTCCTGGGGCACTTGAAACGGCTCAGTGGGAAACTTTTGCTTAATCGTGAACCGCAAGAGAGCTAGATAGTAAAACGTCGCGATGAGTGTATGATATGTTGTATGAGATCTCCGAAGGATATTTTTCAGATAAACCCGAAACCCCGTTGAAGTTTTGGGGCTGTCCTTCGCTAGAGGAGACCAGAGGGTAACGAGAAATCTTTCCGAGAAATCTAACAACGCAATTAGATTAGGATCACGAGTTTCTTGGTACTAGATTACTTACCAATGAGATTTTCCATTGAGACAAGCCGTCTGATTCCTTTGTGCTCGCTCAAAAATTGAGCCATGACAATCAAATTCAGGGATAGCGAGAAAGAGAGATAGGCTTTTCGCCTGAATTTTGGGGGACAGGAAATGCAGAATTTCTATCTAGGGCGTTTGTAAGCATAGCTTGAAGTTGCTGGGCATCAATATACTGACCTATCAGTAGCACTCTTCGCATCCAAGCCAAGTGAGCCGGTGCGTCTTTTTGCTTCAATCTCAAAGACGAGTTCAGCTTCATTCGATACCGGAAACGAAAGTATGTTGGCAGAGGCTAAGAGATAGGTTGACGTATTGATTTATAGATCGCGTCTTCTCTAGGGGAAATATGTAGCTGAGTATGATATTGTGCTTTTGATCGTGCTCGCAGAAAGAGTCATTAAGGATGAGAAGGGCTGGCTTTTTTGCGGTCCATGTCTGATTAGAGTATATCACGATGGCAGCTCCCTCAGTGACAATAGTTTTGGTTTATCTATAGAGGCGCGAACTGCCTCATAACTTGCATAGTTGCAGCAATCATCAGTGACTGAGGGTAAAGCCAAGGAAATTGACCCTCAAATTCTGACCTGTTGCATATTGCACAGTCAAAATCGTGCTGCTGCCCATGGCTACACCAGTTTCTCCTCGGTAATGAATCATATTGGGTGTTTCTCAATGCGGCCGCATTCTTTTCATGTTGCTCAACAGCTCTGTCCCAACATTCAAACATCAACACCTACCTTTGAAAAACTTAGCCAGACCTATCGCAGAGGAATGGTACCCAGCTAAAGGTTGGTGGTGAACGTTGAATCGCGTGATCGAAGCTTTTCTGCGGCATTCCCACGACTGATTAAACGGTGCCAACAGTGGCAAAAACTTTTTCATATACTTTGTCACCAGAAAAACTTGTGATCAACGATGATAATTGATCATTTCGGTAATGAATACCTGACACCCAACATCTTATGGATAAAACGTTATGTGCACTTTTCCACCAACCTGATTTGATATCATGTTGTTGAGATGTTTTATTTTCCTGCTTCCACTATCATCAATTTCTGTCTAAAATGTTATTGTGAAGTATTATTTTGTATAAAACATCATGTTCTAGAGGCCCTGCAAATAACGCTAGTTTTCACTCAGCAGGCAGGATAGCATGGAGAGATTCTGCATTTTTGAGTGCCGGTCGAATCTACTAATAGAAATTTTAAAAAATATCACGGATCTCTGAAAGAACACGCAAGCACTTATGGTGCAATCTTTTCCCGTTGATCCCTTTTGCCGGTTCGTCTCCACCTGCCAGGCCAGCAATTAAGGTGTGCCAAAGGTGGCTGCATTGCGAAGGTAAATCTAGATTTTCATGCTCTTTTGAGGCCCTCTTAATTGGCAGCGCTTCACAAGAGCAAGGGCCTTCTAGGAGACTTGACCTAGAAACAGTGTCCTCTCAAAAGAAGATTCTTGTCCTCATCGGCTCCCCAAGTAGAAATTCCTAGGAACCAATGCTTCACATGAAGATATTGGTTGTACCGCGCGCTGCCGGGCAAATTGATTCATCGCTCTCCTGCACGTCCCAAAACGCAAGCGGCCATTGAAATCAGTTTCTCCTCCTTTCCTATTCCTTCTGTAACCGCAATGGCTTTCTCTTCGTGGGCGGAAATCAAGAAGATCACATTGGTATTATCCGCTGTTGCTGCGCGGTAACAATGGGCTGGACGAAGGCTCTTGAGGTTAACATCGTAGAGTGTATATCCTTTGCATGAGTACTTTCGTGCGAGCCGCTCCATGGGTGAGGGGTCGGATGGGTCTACGAGGAGACAGTCTGATTGATTCCACCGACCTCGTTCGAGTGACCAGAATCTGATATCGATAAGCTGTTGTGTGGATGCTCTGTTGCTGGGGTCAGCATTTTTCGATGCAATATACTCGGTCTCCTTGTACATCGCTTCCGCTTGCTGATCAGCAGAGGTTGGCAGTGACACAGTCTGCGTGTGGCCTGATTCAAGCAAATCTCCAGGTGAAGCTTGATTATAATAGAGCAGATTGAGCTCTTCGTTGAGCCGGTCGTTCTCCATCCTTTTTTCCAGTTCCTCCTGCTCCACTTGGGCCCTCCTCAGGCCGTCGACAAAAGCTTCTAGTTCTTCAGATCTAGAGGGGCGGCTTTCTTCTGACAATATTACCGTCTCTGACGAAGATCTTCGCTGTGCTGCAGGATCTATAGGTGTCTCAGCAGCAATTCCAAGAACAGATCCAGTGTCGGAGTTGGTTTCCTCTCCTGTTGCTCGCCCGCCCTGACTCCATTCAAGCGAGACTGTCTCCAACGAGATCTGGGTGCACTCACTTCTAGCATCCCCAAGCTCTGGATCGGCCCCAGGCGAGTAGCGAGAAGGGACCATTTCCAACACTGATTCGCTCTGTGACCCGCTGGGAGTAGAGCCATGCTGCAGAACCTTGTCACTGAGTGACAGAAACTGGCCGGCCCCCGCCTGCCTTCCTGCTCTTGCAAGGCTAGCAAGCTTCTCGAGACCTGTTGCACCATTATGAAACTGAAAGGCATCGGTGTCACCAGCATCCCCTCCGTCTACGGCTACATGCGCCAAGCCTCCGAGGTCTCTCAGAACTACTACCCCGAGCGACTGGGCAAGCTCTATCCTGTTAACGCCCCCTGGGGCTTCAGCTCCGTCTTCAGCGTCATCAAGGTCTTCCTTGACTACCGCTCCGCACGAATTTTCGAACAGGTTCGCGAACTAATATCTAGTATTCAAGCAGGAGTTTGCTCATGCAGACAGCCATAACCTCAACAACCCTGACCACTGCATCTATTGGATTCTCACATAGAAGGGTGCTCTAGATACGGTTTATAAATTATTTATTCTACGCTATAAAAACTATAAATATGTAACTATTCAAACTTCCAACGTTCAGCATCTTTCAGCCTTAACAAGGTCCCAAGCGTCTTTCCTTTCATGGAGAAGCGGCGAATCCCAAGCACATCTCTCCCACTATTGAATAACCTCTCGATACCTACCTCTGCCGCTGGTATAGCACGGTGATCTTGTGCTACCTGTGCCATACAGGTAAATTCATGCCTGCTGATCTTCCACCAGTTTCGTATAGACTCAGACTGACTCTGACTTAGATCAAAACCAGTGCTGATTGTTGGGGTATCGAAATATTGATCGATATCAGACTCAGCGATGTTATACAGTGTGGGCGGAAAGGCTTCCAGAAATCGATATTCGAAGCTCTTGTAACTGGTGTTTAGAGCAGTCGATATAGACTGTTTCAAGATGGGATATGCTTTTTTTAGGAACGCTCTGATTCGGTTGATGGTTCCCTCTCCGCCTGGTAGCGTTTTGAGCCACTGGGTCTTGATTCGAGAGTCCAGAACACTTGCTATGCTAATATATGTCGTTGCCTTTGACGCAGTCGTGGTATTACTCCAGAAGTGTAAGTCAAACAGATATACGAACAGTTAGAGCTGGCGAGAGATTCTGCCAATCGCCTCACCGTTCCTTGATAGCTAAGAGTATAGAACGGAGCTCTTCAAACATCTGCGCCGCCCTATGAATTGAAGGGCTATCCCGAGAGACGTGCTCAGTATGTTTGTTGAAGGGAGCCAAGATTTCTGTGATATCTGAGAGCTGTCTCCAATCATTAGGTGTGAGACGTAAGGCATCAATATCTGGCTCATCGTTGACTGTGTCTTCTTGGTTGAGCGATCTCAGGGCTCTATATAATCGTATTGTAGTGTGTAATGACAACACAATTCCGAATAACATGCGAATAGTTACTAGTTAGTATTTTTATTCTTACTTACATAATTTTGGCCCTAGAAACGCCCCCGTTGTGGAAATGAGCATGAAGCTCGCAATTTGCGCATGGACCACGCACTATGCCTATATTCGGATGCAGGACTTTTCTGTCAAACTCCGCTTTTTCATTTTGAAAAGACAGCACATGAGTGGCCAATTTCAGTTGTTAAAGATGAACTCGCATTTTCACGTCCTCAAGAGCACCAGAAGTACTTATTGGACCCACTAACACTGGTACAAACACAATTCCCAAAGATTGTTCGTTCGGCATTTCCCGCAAGACCTCATCGTTCATCCTGTTTATGATTCCCGCATCATTCAAAAACACTATCTCTTTCACGCGCGTAACATCAACTGAGGACTTTTTGCTGATTTCTCGGACAAACTTTTCCGCGGTTCGTTCTTGGAGGTACACGGCACGGAAGATATCGTCGTCCCCAGAATACCCTTCCTCTCTATAGCGGCGAAAGTAAATGCAGAGTGCTGTTCATGTCAGTCTAGATTTTGGAAAGTATGATTTGACGAACGTAATGTTTGTGGCATGGAATCAGGTTCCACTGTCAACGGCGTTTCTTCCTCGATCCACATCATTTGCATACTCTCTGGTGTAGGGGGGAGGTCTAACGCCTGTATGTCTAGGTGCGAGCCCCGCTCCATATCCCCTTGATTTGATTCTTTGCCGAAATTCGATGGCCCCACATTCCAGAGTGTCTGAAATGCGAGCTTGGTGGTTTGAAATGATAGCCGAATTTCTGTTTGAAGGCAGCTAATAGCTGCGTCAGTCTGCGTGATTCATGGACAACACCAAAGAGTCGTCATGACAGGAAATGACCGAACTAGGCACTAACTCCTCATACTTAATTTATGACGTCATTGGTAATCAAAACAAGGAGGCGGCACATTCTCAACTTGAAATTTCACCAGCCGACCGGAGGAGAGATTGCCGCTTGAAAGGGAACATGAGTCTGATGATTAGCTACTTCATCTGAAAATAAATGCTAAATTCGAGTTCGCAAATCTCTACAAGGCCACTGGAACTTGCCTCGATGCGACTAAAAAAGCTACTACGGCGTGCGTTCAATGCCAAAAAAGAAAAGCTAAAGCATGTGAGCTTATTCGCTGCCATTGACCTGCTTCATGAGCCAAAGCTGGCAAAGTACGCTCTCATCACTAAGATTGTTTGGAGGCAACTAACCATGTTGCTAAGTGCTGATATAAAGATGACCGTTTACCCAAACTATGCTATGCTCAATGTAGCCGTAAGCCAACCGAATACTTCTTACCACCGAGTGACACGGACTCGCCAGCAGAAGCAGCCTCGCGAAGCTCACGGCGAGCCAGTCTCCGCGGCGGTCATGATTACTGATTGATAATCCGGAACATGCAAGGTCGGTTTTTGACACCCGATGGAGAAGGCATGCTTGTTGGCTTGAATATAGCCGCTGATACATCCCAGGTGAGTCTGGGAACGACATGCTGCGCAGCGTGAATTCACTGACCGCCCTGTCGCTCCCGCGGCACGCGTTCGGTGAAGCAACTCGCCGATGACTCTCAATTTCATGACCGCCGGGTGCTGACTTCGCCCATGCCCAACAGATTAGGGGAAAATAGTATCACCATCCCCAAGTGAGCCAGTACTATTGTAACATCTCGTGTAGAGAAAATGGATACTCAGGTAATGACTCGGAAAATCATGCTGGTTGTGGCTGTGGTTGTGGTTGTGGTTGTGGTCCTGACTCAAGGGCAGACTAGATGAGCGAGATCTGTCGTTCCGACGACGTACAAACCGAATGCCCGGTGCCGGAATCGAACACGTGCCGTAGCTTGAGCTAGGCAATTTCCCCCTGGACCAAAAAAGTAATTTCAAAGTCCCGATTTTTTGCCTATCTAAAATCACATTGGCCCCAAATCATACAGTCATTCCCCCAGTCCAAAAAATTAGTGCGATTAGTACAGTAACAAAAGTTGGTGATTGTATTAATTCCCTTCTATCCGTGATGAATTACGTCATATGCCCAAAGGCGGAAGATGACGGATGCGTGACGAACACGACACGCTAGTTTTATAATACAGATCAGAGGGTGTAAAGACGTTGCATATTTTATTCACGCATTGTTCACTATTATCAATCAATGAATATATACAGCAGTCAATTGATGAGCTAGGAACCACGACATGCCCAATACTGAAGAGTACCTGGATGCTATGAAAGGTTACAAGTCGTTAGTGGACTACCTGGCAACTAACGCTGAGGGTCTATGGGCAACGCTAATTACAGAATTTGCAATGCAGAGGACTAAATAACCCAAATGTCTCAGATGAGGTAAAGGGACCCGATCAAGTACAGCTTGATCAAGAGGTTGGCCGTGACCAGTCCTGCCAAAGGCTATACAAAACTAGAGGTGGTCAAAACAAAGACTTGAGCCAAGTCCCTGCTGGACCTGAAGTGTCAGTGCTGAAATCAAAGAAAATGGCTACAGTGATGCGACATGGCTAACAACGCTAATTTACTTAAGTGCTCAGAATAGCCCTGGTGTAACCAAAATGGACAAGAAGAAGGCATACGAGGAACTGATTCGGATGGGTGGTGAATCTCCCGAGGAATAATGATCCCATTCCACGCGAGTAGTTCAATCTCAGGTAATACGGGGATCCTTAAGGTATTACTGCGATCACAATGTATAATGGGGGTAGTTTTATCTAGTTGTCTTAGCTTTTATGACTTAAAAAGAGCAATATTAACACGCTGCACCCAGGTGTCTCAGAGAATTCTTGATATCCTTTATAATCGTGTCGACCTGATCGAATGTTAACACAGGGAACGCCCAGTGAGCATGTTTCTGTGCTAGAAAGGTAGACTGCTCGTCGACCGACTGTGATGGTTGACTTGGTGGTCCAGTGAGCAGATGAGCCAGAGATACACGTAGAACTGTAGGTGGTCCGGATGGCACAATTGCAGGATACAGAATAAGAGAGCTAGTGCCCGATGGCTCATCGAAGGAAGCTGGGGCCGGTACGGCGACTGAAGAACAAATGGCTGGTGGTGGAAAGGGGTGCAGGATACGCAAGGCATCGGCTCCGCTGAGGGTTGAGGCCCCGGGAATACCTGGTAGGTTCGGCACTGAAGAAGAGTTCCCAATTGTCCCTAGGAATGAGGAGAGTTCTAAGTCTTCTAGTTGTGGGTTGCTGATGTCCTTTGTTCGCGCAGGAGAACCAGGGATATCGCCGAGCACGAAAGAATTATCATAATTCGACGTTGCAGGCGGCCACTGAAGTGATGAAGCCCTGGAAGTGTGAAGCGATTCATCAAGAGACAATTGCTGGGTCAGCTCCCGCCCTGTTAGATGGTCGGATTCTTCTGAGATATCCTCGATTGGTGGCTCTCTGGATGGTGAGGACTCTTCCGCTACCGATCCATCGAATGTTCGACCCTCCGGACTGGCGATTGATTCTTGTTCTTCCACTTCTGGAACAGGATTCGTCGCATTGAGATCTTTACCATTCTTGATTGCCTTCACAATTCAAACTGCATGATACTTTCTGAACTTGATCCATCCGGCAATCTCCGGGTCCAGAGCCCCCCAGATTTGACGTAGTTCGAGAAATAGAGTCGCCGCCTGGAACTTATCTGCGGTTTGCCTAGTAAAATTAGACAAGAGGCAACTTGGTAGCCCCGGGCAACAGTTGAGGTCTCATTTCGTGGCCTTTCTAGCGTTCAGAGCAGCTTCAGCGCGAGCAAAGATTTCTAACCCAAAGCGCTTGACCAGTGCACTCGCCGCGACGCTATCCACCACCAATTCATCGCTAGAATGCTCGCTTTTGAACTATTCCACAGCGTCGTTGTAAGTCATGTAAAGAGCAGGTAAGGGGTCGAGTTGGGGGATTCGGCGAACCTGCTCAAGCTTATCCACCAGATTCATGATGTAGATTCTAATTTCATCGTTGGAATTATGAAGACCCCGCCCGATGATCTGATTTACTATGTGAAATTTGCCTGCGATATTGGCGATTCTCAGTAAGGTCCAATATCTACTGCAACTTCCAGTGGGTTGAGACTCACACCAGTAGGCAATCACGGGCTTGGCCTTCTCGATCTGGGCTGCTCTCATGGCAAAGATGCCAATATCAGTGGACCTCAATTGTGCTGGAAAAGTTTTCACCATGTCCGAGGTGTGGGATAGCAAGAATGAATGAGACCCAGGACAGCCGCCTGAGCATGGTGGTTGATAGCTATGACATCACCGCCTGCGGAGACATCACCGCCTGCGGAGGCAAAAGCTTCAATTCTCAGGAGCCCGAGTTTACATATTATTCTGTCACCCTGATATGCACTACTCATGAATTAGGGTCAGGTCTGCACCCGTAATACCGGTCGTGAGCCACAGAACTTCCAGACAACACATCCAACTCGCACATTTTACCAGAGGTTATGAGCCCTCATTTCTCAGCATGGGTAGCAAGTCATGGTATCGCAAACTCATACGAACGACTATCAGTCTTGGGGTCTAGGTGCAATAATCAAACCCACTGGCCACGGAGCAAGAAGCATCGTCGAAGCCACCGAGCCAGTTGACACAGTCTAAATGACCTAATCTTAGGAATGCGGACGCCCTCCGTCGTGGTGTTCCCGGAAAGCAAGCTTTGTTCATGGAACAAGGACTGAAAATATAAGTAAAACCAAGAGAGCCATGCTGGTGAATCAGACAATTCGGCGTTTATCATACCGGTTACCCATGGCTTTATTATGGTCCTTGACTTCTTTAGATTGTGATTTAGAGTCCAATTCGCCACTCTCAGTATTAGGTCCTTCACGGTGCATTTTGAGGCTGTAGTATTCATCATTGCTTTTGGTTTCATCAGCTACGGACAACGACTTGGGCAATTCTAAATAATTATATATCTGTCAGCTATGAATCCGAAATGCGTAAGGTTCATAATAACAAGAAAGCAGAGCTATGCTCACTATATTTACCTTTGCTGTTCGAATCTTCCTGGTTTGTATCGGCTTTCGACGACATTTTGGTATCATGTTCATGATCTTTTGTGTTGGTTGCCAGACCTTTAGACTTGTGTTGAATGGAGATAGCTGATCTTGTAGTGCGGGCCATATTGTATTGGCTGCAGCGACTTACCAACAGGCTTGTTGGCGCTCCTCGTGTGAGTCTCATTTGGTTTAGGATCTGCATTCTGGCAATGTGCAAAATAAGAATTCAGCATAAATTTGGAACCAGCGAGTTCTTTGTCTTTGAAATGATGGTAGCATGGCGGTGGCAAAACTGAGGTCTTGTATCTTTGGGTGAGCTAACCATATGACGTCTCGGGTAAAGATAAGATTTCAGAGAAAGTATCACAGCCAGGGTACAGCCAATCGCTGAACCCTCTGTCGCCGCTATTCAGCAGACTGCCCGTCATGGGTAGGCCATAGAGTTACTCTTTAAGTAATGCCACATAAAAGCCCAGTCAATCTATATAGACTTTATCTTACTTGCTTGAAATGGGGTGAAAGTGCGCCCACTCGATGTTTGGAAGACAACGGGAGATAGGGGAAATATTCGAGAAGAGTGGAAAAGGATTTGACGCGGAGTTATTAGAGTTTCGCAAAATTCCGTACATAGCTGAACTTGGTGTCTACAGATTAGCCAGCTGTTGTTTCGTTCTTTGTAACCAATTTTTTTATCTATGGCATGTCCCAGCACCAAATTATGCACGGGGGGGGGGGTCACGCCATTGTCAAGCCTGGAAATAGATTCCGCTTGCAGTTCGATATAGCTTCGTCGTTATTGAAATCCTGCATATTATGAATGGGAAGTGGTCGCATCATCATGACGGGGGAGTAAACAGAATTTTTCAATACTTGATAATCCACCCCCTCCTCCCCTCAAAATATTTATTAATCTTTAGCGCCCGTATATAAGGGTTCTGCCATCTGTTTTACTTATTTTCACTCACTTTCACAGGCTCTATTTGTATCAAGAGATACAAACATTCAGCCACAATGGTCGGAGCGAATACAAGACAGTCCAAGGTTTTCTATCAGGGCCAGACCGAGGACTTCGTCATATTCGTTGCAGACATAGTCACCGCGCAGAAATGGAAGACAGATCATTCAATCCCGCTTGAGCAGGTGATGGATGTGTGGAAGATATACTCTTCGCATCAGTAGGTACCCGCTCCTGAATCCTCGTATATTGCTCGATGTCAAAGAATATATATTGGGCAGTCAATAAAATTTGGCCTTGTCGGCAAAAAATCCCTATAGGCGCAAAGCTACCTGCTAACGATACCTTGCAATTTTACTAGACATGGATCTCAAGGGATGCATAATGAAGCCAGCAGGGCTACTCTTGCGCATGAGTTTGGGACATCCAATGATCGGGAGGTCATCTGCCATATCTTGGACAAAGGCGAACTTCAGGAGGGTACCGTGCGTAACAATTTTTCTCCTCGCCTGATCTCTTCAGTAGCCCTGTCAGATCCAGTCATTATCCCATATTACATAGGATCTCAACACAAAGCCATTTTCTTTGAGAGTAGTTCTAACCATCCTACTACATGCAGGCCTCTGAACGACAAGGAGTTAGGAACGAATCACAAGGATCACGAGGCGTTCATTAGAGTTCAGGTGAAGACAGATCATTGTGTGGCCCCTTATCCTCCTCTTATCATCGAGACTGTTATTCGCACTTTATTACGACCCATTCAATAACCCCGCCAGCAGCATAATTTTATCTTCGCACATTTTGAGAACATGGATCTGAGATTGATTATCCTAATGACCATAGTATCGAATGAAATTGTAAACTTATCTACATAATCACTGATGAGGGTGCATCAGTGCTTCATCCTAGTAGTCAATAATCAACACATTCTCCCCCAACCTTCCGAAGTAGTGAAATTAAGCTGGTGTGGGTCTCAGGAGCCGTTGTTTCTTTGGAAACAGCAGGCTTTGGTTTGACAAATTTACCCGACAATGACCGACAAACAGAAGTGAGAAAGATAAAGACTTGGCTGGCATGTAACATATTTGACATCTTAGCATATCGAAGACTGTGCTCGTTCCTCAGGGTCAACTTCACTAGTTAGGAAAGAGGCAAATATTTCAGAAATTATGCGCAGAATATTTTCATACTGTTCAAGGGTCAAATTGGATTAAAGACCGTACTGGGCCTAATTTCTCACCTTTGTTATCACCGCAGCTTCCTCATCGGGTATTTTAAACTTCATGTTCCGAAGTGCCGTCCAGGTAGTGGCGGTGTATTCTTTGACTTTTGCCCAATTATGGTCCTGAGAAATGATCCATTGGCTCTCATCATGAAAACGCATAAAAGCCTTCATCATATACTCGGTTTTCCAGAGAGGGCAAAATTGGTCATAATCACTATAGCCGTTCTGCTGTAGGAAATCTTCTTCAACCATTGAAGCCACATCAAGTGTAATTTTGTCGTGGTCATTAAGTGCAGCCTTGCCGACCAGTTGCACGAGCTGTTTCAAAGCTTCTGAGCTTGATAGAAGCTTTTTCATCTTGTCCCTTAGCTGTGGGAACCCAGGGTGGTGCTTCTCATAGTGCGGTTCTAAGACTGCCGAGTATTTACTGTAAGATAAGGAGATGTTGATGGAAGGAAAATGATTCCTCTGCGCGAGCTTTTTATCCAGACCCCAAAATACCTGAACAATACCAAGGGTGCAGCTAGTGACGGGGTCTGAAAAATCCCCACCGGGAGGGCTCACTGAACCAATAATACTGATGCTACCCGTCCTTCTCGCACTGCCGATAACCAGAGCTCGCCCTGCACGGTCATAGAATGAAGCCAGCTTGGAAGCTAGGTAGGCAGGGAACCCTTGGTCTGCAGGCATTTCTCCAAGTCGACCAGAAATCTCACGTAAAGCTTCGGCCCAGCGAGAGATAGAATCCGCCATTAGCGTTACATTTTTGCCTTGATCCCGGAAATACTCCGAGATAGTAATACCGGTATATATTGAAGCCTCGCGGGCGGCGACAGGCATGTTGGAGGTGTTAGCTACCAGGCAAATTCGGCTCATTATAGACTCCATCTTTCCATCCTTGTTTATGGACAGCTATGCCTCGAATTAGAATAGCAATTCTCGAGGTCCGGTACGGTATTCTTAACATACCCGAGGAAACTCCACCAAAACCTCTGTCATTTCGTTACCACGCTCACCACATCCAACATAGACAATGATATCGCTGTTTGAGAATTTGGAAATGCTTTGGCTGATGACTGTCTTGCCGCTTCCGAACGCACCAGGGATACATACCGTGCCGCCCTGTGCGCATGGGAAGAGAGCATCGAGGACTCTCTGCCCGGTGAAAAAAGGGGAATTGCAGTCCAACCTTTCCGTGACGGGTCGAGGAACGCGTACCGGCCAAACATGCATCATGCTATACTCTGTTTCGTTGCCATCGAATTCGATTGCCAAAAGCTTCTCGATAACCGTGTAGCTACCCGCCTCCGCTATTCGCGTGATCCTTCCCCTTGCACGCGGAGGAAGCATAATCTTGTGGTCATCAAGTAGAATATTCTCGAATACACTTCCCCAGATATCACCGCCAGTGATGTGATCCCCAACTTTGAATGTTTCCGGCTTGAAGTCCCAAGTCTTTTCGCGGTTAAGTGTAGGAACGTCAATCCCACGTGGGATATAAATACTTTTTGTCAGGCATGAAATAGCCCCCAGAGGCCTTTGGGTTCCGTCGTAAATAGTTCCCATCAGTCCAGGCCCAAGTTCGACAGTCAGAGGCTCTCCTGTGCCGATGACAGGGTCACCAACTGCTACACCACCTGCCGGTCCGGTCATATGACGTCAGCAGCGGAAAGTGAGTAACGAACGGATAAAACCGTACTTGTTTCCTCGTAGATCTATATGGTAACTTTATCGTGCTCTATTTTAATGACTTTCCCCCACTAATAAGTCGTACCCTACCTGACACTGTAGAAAAGTTAGTCAAAAAATTCTTAGCATGTTGGACTCATAATCACTTACAAGCTCGTACATACAGCTGCCTCGCATATTCTCTGCAATAATAATAGGTCCTGAAATAGAGAATACTGAGCCGGTTTGGCCATTTTCCTTGTATACCTGTTTAACCCTCAACGCCATCGCATATGTTTTCGTAAGTACCGGAAGTTGTGGTACGTAAGGTATTTTGTGAAATTTTGTAAAAATCAGGTCGAAGATGTGTCGGAGAATATCAATACATCAACTTGGCGGCGACTTGAGGGTATTTCGTTGGCTGTGGCTTGCTTATATACCAGGTACAGAACGGGACCAAATTAAGAATCGTGAAGTTGACTATTGCAAATTGACTGCGATCAGGCGCTGCCATTTATACTGAAGGTTTCAAATATTGGTGTTGCGCGAAATCATTAATTACCTGTGCGGCTGTGCCACCCACCCACACTGCTCCCACGCACTCATTGTGGGAGGCTAGTTACATCATCATGACTGTAGTCGTTACAGTACCTTGACACTATCTTCTAGCTTTTCCTGACGATCTGAATCCTTATGTTGGGAAATCTATCTAGGCATGTTTAAACACACATGGCGGCTATTTAGTCGCTCCATCAATGATGCTTGCACCGCTAGGGTTAACAGATGCTTCGACCGCCCAACAGCAGGTTTAATATCTTCTCACAAGCAGCTTTGTTCGTACGCTACTAACGCCAAACCATCCACTGAAGTCTCTTCGATGCTTCAGCAGAGGATACACGACATTAAGGAGACATCTGACCTTCCAGAGGAAGGCCGAGTTTTGTCTGTCAGTGACGGTATAGTTCGTGCACATGGATTGACTAACATTCAAGCTGAAGAGCTTGTCGAATTTGCCTCCGGTGTGAAGGGTATGTGCATGAACCTAGAAGCTTCTCGTGTCGGTATCGTCCTTTTTGGTTCGGATCGCCTCGTCAAACAGGGCGAGATTGTCAAGCGAACTGGCGAGATTGTCGATATTCCTGTTGGCCGTGAGATGCTGGGTCGAGTGGTGAACGCACTCGGAAATCCCATCGATGGAAAAGGGGCCATCAAAACCACCGAGAAGAGCCGGGCTCAGCTCAAGGCCCCTGGTATTCTACCTCGCCATTCCGTCAACCAGCCCATCCAGACTGGCCTAAAAGCAATTGACGCCATGGTACCCATTGGCCGCGGTCAGCGTGAGCTGATAATCGGGGATCGTCAAACTGGGAAGACGGCCATCGCTCTGGACACTATACTAAACCAGAGAAGATGGAATGGCTCCGACGCCGAGACTGACAAGCTGTACTGTATTTACGTTGCTATCGGCCAGAAGCGCTCAACGGTGGTCCAGCTTGTCAAGACCCTGGAGGTGAATGATGCCATGAAATATTCGATCGTTGTCGCAGCTACAGCTTCAGAAGCTGCTCCTCTTCAATACCTTGCGCCCTTCGCTGGCTGTGCTATTGGGGAGTGGTTCCGAGACAACGGCAGACATGCCATCATCATCTATGATGATTTGTCAAAGCATGCAGTTGCCTATCGCCAGATGTCGCTGTTGCTTCGTCGGCCTCCTGGACGCGAGGCTTTCCCTGGAGATATCTTCTACCTCCATTCTCGTCTCTTGGAGCGTGCCGCAAAATTGAATAATAAGCAAGGTGGGGGCTCTCTGACTGCCCTTCCTATCGTTGAGACGCAGGGTGGTGACGTTTCTGCATACATCCCCACCAACGTGATCTCCATCACAGATGGTCAGATATTTTTGGAATCTGAACTCTTCTACAAGGGCATCCGTCCTGCGGTCAATGTTGGACTATCTGTGTCTCGTGTTGGCTCCGCCGCACAGCTTCAATCTATGAAGCAGGTCGCCGGTTCCCTCAAGCTCTTCTTGGCCCAATATCGTGAAGTTGCTGCCTTTTCTCAGCTAGGTTCAGATTTGGATGCCGCCACCAAGCAAACGCTTAGACGTGGTGAGCGTCTAACAGAGCTTTTGAAACAGAAGCAGTACGCTCCAATGGCTGTCAATGAGATGGTACCCTTGATCTACGCTGGTATTAATGGCCTTCTTGACTATATACCTGTTAACAGGATTATGCGCTGGGAAGCTGAGCTCCTTGCCCACTTGAAAAACAATAAGCCAGAGATACTCTCCAGGATCCAAGATGAAGGCAAACTTAGCAATGGCCTGGAAGCTCAGGTCAAGGAAGTCATCATCGACTTCAACAAAACTTTCTCGCAGGCAGTTGTTTCCGGTGCGTAAACCTCCTCGCATCATATTTCATTAGAGCTTTGGTTCCACGCACATTTCCATTTACGATATTTACACGTGAAACGGCGTAGCATCGGGTTAACTAACTCCTGTTCTTCCGCCTCAAATTGTCACCAAACCTTTGTAGGAATGAGCCTGGGGTATGAAGTCCTCTGAGATACTCTGAGATTTATATCAAATAACATTCGACGCCACTTTACTTAGTTTAAAAATATGTTGTGTCCTTCCGCCCACTAAATCCCGTTCTGAACCTGATTGTCTTTCCTTCGATAAGGTAAATGTATAAATCAGCATCTAGTATCTTAGCTCTCTAAACTTGTCTGCTGTTTTCTCAACAGCCAGGGTAGCTTCTCCGGGCTGGTTTCTCTCATCGTAGTAAGCTAAAAATGATCAAATTGTCTGTTTTAGCACAAGCAACACCTGCCTCACTCACTATCTGATTAGTACACCGTACTAAAAAAAAGACAAAAATTCTGAATTACCGTCCTTCCATATATAAAATTATCATAAGCTTTGATACACGTGTAATTTTTGCCATTCACAACAATGCCTTGTGCGAACGCAGATCTAGGGTTCTTGAAGAGATCGATCGGACCATGGAGTTGTTCTTGGTGGACCTATCTATCTCATCAGCTGCAGCGCACATAAATAGGAGCGATATGGTTGATCAGAACGACATACGCTGTATCCAGGTGAGATCGCCCAAACTCCCCCATTCTCGGCATCAAAGAGAGCAGCATATGTCACCGCCCCATTAGAAATCAGGCTAGAGCCAGCAACGAGGCCATTAGCAAGATTTGCTGATTAATATACGGAGAATGTTGTACCTTTATTCCAAAAGACCTACAGTTAATGTTAGAGGTTTCGGGGGGATAAGTCAGGTCGTATAACTAGTTAACTCACTCTGCCAGGTATTCATGATGACCAATGCTACTTAGGTTAAGTAACCAAATTGACTAGTCAGTTGATTGAACTATTTGTTTTAAGAAACATTGTTAAGGGGTATTCTTCCCTGGGACTTTTGAATTTCGGGAACGCTTAATCCCTTTATACCCGAGGGCTATCCTTGTATTACTGTCTCCTATTAATTAAAAATGGTATCTTTTGATCCATTGTTCTGCTGTTGATTTTCGGACAGTCCATGACGTCACATCTACTACGCCACTGTCATCTGCGTACGTTTGTAAGCTCCACATTGATACTTCGCTGCTTTTCCTCTGTATCCTTGGATCTTATTCGTCAACTGCCAGTTAATAAGAGTCAATTTATAATATACGAAGGCTCTGCTTTTTAGTTTCCTACAGGTAGGTGGGTGGTGAAGATAGTGTGTGACATCCTAAATGATTATGCTCACGTTGGGGTTCTCACATATATGACTCGGTATTCTCCCTGAGATTGGCAAATATACAGGAGTGAGGTAAGCCTTTGTCCAGTAATATTGCCTTGTGCGCCACACGATGTTACATCATTACGAAGACACCCCAGAGCTGGTGTCTAATGAGTACGGTCTGCATTATAGTTCACCTACCAACAATGTTTCTAGTTGCACGTGAGCCTTGGTAGAATAAAGTGAAATAAATTACCTGGAATGTCAAATGAAGTTGTCGTCCAGTGGTGGATATATAATTGCTTTATGAGTCAGAAATGCGCACCCTGGCAATATCTTTGTCTAGCCGTATATTTTCTTGTTATTATTGACACCCGACTGCTTGACTACCATTCCGGAGTACGAGGTAACTGCATTGTGGTGGACCTTACACTTCGTTTTCTCTGTAGCGCAATACTCTATCTGAGCTTTTGCTTATCGTATTATGGTGACCCCGAGGCTTCCATTTCTCCATCCAAATTTCATACGCGTCGCGCAGTCATATAAAGATCTTCCGGCCGCACCATTCGATTTCCTTTCAGCGGTGGCTCTAGCCTTCACGCCGGTTTCTATACTAGTCTACAATACAATCAACAAGTGCATCCACAGTACAACTGCTCATATGCCAAGCCAAGCCTCCATCCATGCAGGCGATCGAAGGACGGTTCATCCAGCCAGCTCGACGAAGTCACATTGTCCGGAGAAGGCGATCAAAGCAGCAGTGAGAGGAACAACATTTTGCCAGACCAGCAGCTTGAAGATGCCAAAAGGGTGACTACAATTACATTCTTTTCAACATCATTCGATAAGCAAGCTTTTCTAGATTCGAAGCAAGGCAACTCGTTGTTAAATTCAGAGCAGCAAGAGGAGCATGCAATGGGCAATGATGGGGCCCAAGATACCTCTACCTCTTCCGCTCGTCTTGTACGGACGGAAAGCAAAAAGCCACATATATCTCCTTGCCCGAACCAGGGCGCGTTTGACGATGCAATCCACATGCCCACCCCCTCAGCCTATCTGACCCCCCCTGGACTAATAATACCACACAACAAACCCCCACGACCGATACCAATTCGTAGCGAGTATCAACCCGATACTTATTTCGTAGTTCGTGATCTCACAAACGGCGGCTTTACAAATGAGCAATCGGTGACAATCACGAAAGCTATCCAACATATCCTACAAAAGAACATCGATATCGCAAAACAATGTCTGATTTCCAAATCCACTGTCGACAACGAGCCCTACCAATTCAAGGCAGCCTGCTCAGAATTGTGATGGTCCTTACAAACAGCTTATAATTTGGAAACTAAAAGACAACATGCTTCACGGATACAATTGGAGCAAGAATATGATACTCTCTCGCAGCGTCTCACCAAGGAAATTGCTGACATGAAGGATAATATCAAGGGTATGTTAACTGACTACAGCATTGCCACCCGAGAGGACCAACGGAACATCGACACCTTGCTACAAGAGCTCGATTACAAAATTAGTGTGTCACTAAACAGCGATGGGAAGACCGCAGTCGATAGTATCAGATGGATGTTGACACGTCGCGCTGCCCTGACTATTGCATCTTGCGCTTGTACTTCTTTAATGTGTCTCCAATATGATCTGAAATTTCATGGCTGACGGTATCCTTTTACCAAGTGATGATTGTCTTCTTCCTGAAGTACTCTTCAACCCGCGCGCAAGATTCAGAGCACAACATCAAAAACGAATGACAGTCTGTTGTAAAGCCTCCTCTCAAAAAAAGTGAGACATTCTCTCTTTATTACCTTCCGATGATTATAATTATTGATCATGGTATCTCCAGGTGTGCCCCGAGGTATCAGGACAGAAATAATGGTCTAACTCCGGGGCATCTTATTATGGGTCTTAAGCCTTATCTTATTACCCATTATCTTCGTACTCAAAACGAGGCTCTTTAATCGCGGCTCCATAATACCAATCTCTAACCTCAGGGATACATGGTGGAGTGTGGTTCATGGCCTACTGTACCCTCCACAGATGATACTAGAGTCCTTAACTCCCCCAGAAGAACCACCGCATGAGCTGCTGACTTTGTATTTTGCAGGTCACACTTGTATGAATTGTAGAGCAATAGTCCATTATTATCAGTTGTCTGCGAATAAGACATCTTACCAGATCATCCGCTCGGTTTATCCCAACGCGTAGTCACGTTTTATCTAATTTCGGCGCTTTATTTTCCGTCGATGGGGTCTGGGCCTTCTTCACTCGAGGCTGAAGGTTGAGATTAACGTCTTCTTGATCTGCCCTAATCTAGAGACAATGACCTGTCAGTGGAAGGTTCTTGTATCCAGGATAATTCAAACTGTGGAAGCTTACCGCAGCCTCGCTCAATGTAGCCAGGGCTTCTTCCCATCTATGCCCAGTTTTTGTCTTTCCTGACAGGTCCGTGTCCAAAGGGACTGATCCAAAATCATCATGAAACCTGGTAGCAACAGAAGTTGGAGTAGTTCTCTTTGTAGTGCTGGATTGGCATAGTTCGTGATGGCAAGCCCTAAAAACCTGACCGACCCGCAGAAGTGAACAAGGTCTGGCTGATGGGGATCGCATGGTAGTAGCCACAGGCTTGGGTTGTTGAGTGTTGTGACTGACGTGAAGAACGTGGCTAATTTCAATGATGTACTGTCAATCCTGAAAGCTAGTCGTCTCGATTCCGAGAACAGATTAATTGGAATGGAGCGGAAATCTTCTGATCAACTGATTGGCGGTTAGGTGACTGTTGGTCATTATGAGGTCAATACTCCGTATTGTTTTCCAAAGAGGCAGATGACAAATCCGATACCGTCGTTGTTACCCCACTATCGAGCTCGATGCCATTCCAAATATTAAAATTCGAACCTTTTCATTTTTACCATACTGCCTCTATACAAAAATAACAGCTATCAAATCGTTTAGGGCACTTATGCATTCTCGCACCAAGCCGGCATGACCGACTCGAATACCCATCTAGTGCCCGTACCCTTTACGCAGTCTCGTGCCAAGTCAGTAGAGTCAGAGATCATTCCTCAAAACCTTATTAGCCAAGGCAGAGACACATATACTCCTGCATCATCTCACATATCGTTGGGTAGAGGGAATTCCGGCAATGATGGTGGTACGCTCCAACCAGGACTCAGCAGGGAGTCCAATTTCGAAGCGGCGAACAAGAAGTTCGCCTTCTCGCTGGACCAGCTGAAAAAGCTCCTAAACCCCAAGAGTTTCAGCGCATTTAGCGCTCTAGGTGGCATGAGTGGGCTTGAAGAAGGTCTGCGAACTGACGTGCTGAGCGGCTTGAGCATTGACGAGGCCGTGTTGGACGACACGGGGAGTCTTGACCGGGTGGGTGTACGAACCTTCCTGCCACCGCATGATGCTAGCCTGGAAGAATCAGCAATTAAGTGGCCACAGGACCGATTTGCGGATCGGCGGCGTGTGTTTGGAATCAACAAGCTTCCCGAGAAGAAGCTCAAATCTATTTGGGAGCTCATCTGGATCGCGTACAATGACAGGGTGCTCATTCTTCTATCAATTGCCGCTGCTGTGTCCCTTGCCGTTGGTATTCCGCAATCTGTGCGAGGCACGGGCGTGGAATGGGTGGAAGGAGCAGCGATCATTGTTGCCATCGTTGTTGTCGTTACCGTCGGCGCGGCGAATGATTGCCAGAAAGAACGGCAATTCGCGAAGCTTAACCAGAAGAAAGAGGATCGGTATGTCAAAGTGATTCGATCGGGCAAGAGGGCGGAGGTGTCGACCTATGATATTATGGCCGGGGACGTGATGTGCCTGGAACCAGGAGATATAATCCCAGCAGATGGGATCCTGATTGACGGACAGGGTGTCAAATGTGACGAGTCATCGGTAACGGGCGAGTCAGACCTCCTTCGAAAAACCCCTGGCGACAAAGCCTACAGGGCAGTTCAACAGAACGACGACCTGAAGAAGATAGATCCATTCATCATGTCGGGTTCTAAGGTTGAAGAGGGTATGGGGACGTTTCTGGTCACTGCGACCGGTATCCACTCGACCTACGGCCGAACCATGATGTCTCTCCAGGATGAGGGCGAGACGACCCCGCTACAAGTCAAGCTAAACGTGCTGGCAGATTATATTGCCAAGGTCGGCCTTGCCTCAGGCCTGACACTGTTCATAGTGCTGTTCATCAAGTTTCTAGTCCGCCTCAAGGACATTCAAGGCGGTGCAGAGGCCAAAGGCCAGGATTTTCTGCGGATTTTTATTGTGGCCGTCACCGTCGTCGTTGTAGCAGTGCCAGAGGGGCTGCCATTGGCGGTCACCCTCGCTCTCGCCTTTGCAACAACAAGGATGATCAAGGACAACAACCTCGTGCGCTTGCTCCGGGCATGTGAGACCATGGGAAATGCCACAACCATTTGCTCCGACAAAACCGGCACACTCACCGAGAACAAGATGAGTGTCGTGGCTGCGACTCTAAGTACCACGTCACAATTTGGAGAGCAACCGTCTTCGAGCGATGCGGCCAGCGTGGCAGGCTCAGGGCCTCTTTCAGCCTCTAGTTTTATATCCTCGCTTGCACCATCGTTCAAAAAGCATTTGCTCCAATCAATCGTTCTCAACTCAACTTCATTCGAAGGTGAGCGTGACGGAGTGACGACATTTATTGGATCGAAGACGGAGACGGCGTTGCTGTCATTCGCGCGAGAGCAACTCGGGCTTGGACCAGTGGGCGAGGAGAGAGCAAAAGCGAAGATCGTGCAGATGTTCCCGTTCGCCTCAAGTCGCAAATGCATGGCGGTGGTTGTTTCGATGAATAATAGAAAGTATCGGATGTTGGTTAAAGGTGCTGCAGAGATCTTACTCCGTCAATCGACACAGATCGTGCAAGATGCAACCAAGGGTCTGGCGGAGACACCGCTCTCCGAGGTCAATAGACTCGCGCTAGATACCATTATCACGAACTACGCGTCTCGCTCTCTGAGGTGTATTGCGCTTGTGCACCGGGACTTTGAAAACTGGCCGCCACATGGGACACCGACGCACGAAAATGACGGCGAAATGGCACACTTTGAGCCAATATTCAAGGATATGACGATGATAGGCATCTTCGGCATCCAGGATCCCGTCCGCGAAGGAGTCCCCGACGCAGTCCGCCAGTGTCAGCGCGCCGGAGTTTTTGTCAGGATGGTGACTGGCGACAATATTAACACAGCGAAAGCCATCGCCCAGCAATGCGGCATCTACACGCCTGGTGGTATCATCATCGAAGGGCCTGAATTCCGCCAGTTGAACCATGATCGGATAAACGAGCTCATCCCAAATCTGCAGATTATCGCTCGGTCAAGTCCAGACGACAAGAACATATTGGTCAGCCAGCTCAAGGAGCTTGGCGAGACCGTCGCCGTGACTGGGGATGGGACAAATGACGCGCAGGCACTTAAGACTGCTGATGTTGGCTTCGCAATGGGCGTAACAGGCACTGAAGTTGCGAAGGAGGCGTCAGATATTATCATAATGGACGACAATTTTGCATCAATTGTCAAGGCGATAGCATGGGGACGTACGGTTAATGACGCCGTCAAAAAGTTCCTTCAGGTAACATTACCATAACCCGCTCCAAGACCAGAAACTGACTACCATTTAGTTCCAAATCACCGTTAACATCACTGCTGTCGTTCTCACCTTTGTTTCGGCTGTTGCCAGTAATGATGAAGTTTCTGTCCTCAGCGCAGTGCAGCTTTTGTGGGTCAATCTCATCATGGACACTTTCGCCGCTCTTGCACTTGGTATTCTTTTCCCATATTTTGGACTTTTCCAAGGTTCCTAATCTTTCTATAGCGACGGATCCACCTTCAGCATACGTTCTCGATCGCAAACCTGATCCCAAATCTGCGCCACTAATCACCTTGACAATGTGGAAGATGATCGTTGGACAGGCCATCTATCAACTGGCTGTGACACTCGTCCTGCACTTTAAAGGCCAATCCCTCTTCCCAAGGTGGGATAGCAGGTATATGCAGACAGTGGTGTTCAGTACTTTTGTATTCATGCAGATATTCAACCAGTACAAGCAAGTAGTGCGGTTCCTTCCCCGTAGCATCACTTACTGACTGATACCTACAGCTGTCGTCGGATTGACAACCGTCTAAATATTATGGAGGGCATCCTAAGCAACAGATGGTTCATTCTCATTCAGGTCATCATCATCGGTGGCCAGATCATGATCATTTTCCTCGGTGGCCAAGCCTTTTCCGTGCACTGTCTTGACCAGCCCTCCCAGTGGGCAGTCAGCGTGTTGCTTGGGGCTCTTACGGTACCGATAGGGGTAATGCTTCGTCTGATCCCGGATAAAGTCATCTCCAGGGTTATAATATATATATGGAACCGCGCAAAGGGTCCTGAGCTGGATGTCCCTGGGGAGGAGCGCCATTACGGGTGGGATCTCGCACTGGAGGGAATCCGCGACCAGCCGTCGTTCATGAAGAAGATCCGCGGAGGGCGACTGAGGCATATAATACACAAGCACCCCGAAGTTTTCTTCCAGTCCCGCGGCAGCTCACAACTCCCATATCCTTCTACGCTGCCCACAACGATTGAAGGCCCGACGGTCAGTGGCCTTACAGATGAATATTCGACATCTGCGCCTGCATCTGAGCGGACACCTTTAATTTGCGGTAGTGGGACGAAACAGAGCCAGTCGTAGGTGTAGGCATCACACCATCAACAAAGACTTTTCTCGCTA